GTACTGTATCTCATCTGTATTGGCACATACAGGCCGTGCGTGAAAAGTACCTTTGCAGTACCAGGCCATAACATCGACGATGCCTCGCTCTATCCTCCGTATAGCTTCATTTCCTCATTCTTTATCTCCGATCCCGACGCAATCTCTCCTCCAATGCACGCTTGTCACATTCTCCGGCCGGGCTGAATGTCTCAGTCTCCCCCGCCTTCATTCCCCGGCTGACCGACGATCGTCCTCTGAAATTCGCCGCCCATGGTTACTGATCCACTCGCCTGTGGAGATCGACTTTCGTGGTTGCTGCGTGCCAAGTCAGAGTTGTTGTACCTTAAGGCCCTGAACTCTCGACGCCTGGGACTCGGCCGGACCTCAACTTCTCCAAACTCTTTTCCAGCTTAATTTCCGGTGGAAATCAATACCATTACATACAAATCCACCGCGGGGATACCGACGAGAGTTTTAAAGTTGTCCTGGCCGGAGAAAAAAAAGTTATATAGAGCCTCTCCCATCCGCCCTCTTTGCCACCTCCCATCTCCCTCCTTCCTGCATCCCTCTCTCTCTCTCTCTCTCTCTCTCTCTCTTTCTCTCTTCGTCTCTCGAGCAGTTTCCTTCGTTCTGTTCCTACAAACTCTCGCTACTCTCTTTCCTTGTCTGTACTTTCTACAAGACCATTCTTTCACCATGAAGCTTCTCTCTTCACTTGCTCTGCTGGTCTCCGTCGTGGCAGCCAACCCGATCGCACGAGCGAGCAACGCCAGCGACACCTTCCACCTGAAGACAGCCGGGGCATCCGAGTCGAAGCACAACGATCTCTACTTGTATGCCTACCACACCGGTGCCGGATTCAACGACGCCGTCCTGACCTCGGACACCAACACGGCCAACCCGGTCTTCCTGAACAACACGCACGCCCAGTTTGCCCTAGACACTCCTTTCCCTTGGGGACTCAACATGCCCCCGCACAACAACTATGCCGGTGAGTACTCGCCTCGGAGGGCCTAGATTTAGGACAATTGAGGTTAACTTTTTGCCTTTCCACTTGTTAGCGTGGGAACCGGTCGAGATCAACACCGGATACGGGAACGATGGGTTCATCATCGATGGCACCGGATTGCAATGGTCAAATGATCTCTTCGGAGGTTGGTTGGGTAAGTTATCCCCCCGTAATGCATTGGCCTTCAGTGTCTGTCAGTGGGGGGCATGAAGTCATCTTCAGCGAATTTGCCACTAACGGACCGCTCGAACCGATAGTGTGCGATTGGTACCACAACGAACCCCAGCTATTCTACCTTTACCGCCCCTACGAAGCCAAGCTGCCCTCGTCCTGCAGCAAAGTTAACCTGGAAGTCGAGCACCTGTCGTAAGAGCAACGACTCGGTGCCACCCGACGAGGATAATGGTTCATGACGCGCTTGGCGCAAGTTGATGATTCATACGGACGATGTACCACTCGCTTCTCCCAGATCCGTACCAGAGTCAATGAAAGTCTATTGATAGGCCGTCGGGGAGATGCCGTGCGGGCATCCGGATAATGATAATTTTCTGTAATGACTGTGATGGCCTTGGAAATATTCATGGCGGACGGCATGTTGGGCTTCGGGGAGTGGATAACGGGTAATTAGGTATTTCTTTCTTGATGTTTGATAATAATTGTTGCATGTATGTATCTTGTATGTATCTCGATCGACGGAAATGCGACAGGACGATATACTTTTTCCCAGCCAACGATCACCCAAGGTTCGTTGCCAATAATTGCCAATAATGCACGGCAGCTGGCTCGGCCGGTCCGCCGGGCGACCGTGGAGATCCTGGAGGTCGGAGAACTCACCACCGAGGCCGGGGACGGAGTTTTCCGTAGTCTTGCGGAATCGAGACTACCTCGTAGGGTGGCAGACCGAAGATGAAAGAGTGCGAGACACACTGTCGGGTCTGTGAGGCGCGGTGTGGACGACGACAGCCAAACCAGGCCAATCAATGTGATGCCTCAGGCCGGCAGCCAAAAATAGACGGTGTCTCACATGCGATGCCCAAAGAGGGTTAGCGCTGTTGACTTCTTTCTGGTCTTTTTCACCATTTTCGCCTTTGGCCGGCCACTTCTCAACTTCTCACGGCCCTCGCTCGCTCTGCGTCTTTGTTTCTCATCTTTTCCCTATCTCGCTGCCTCTGTTAGACTTCATCCTGTCCTCTCGTCCGTTGTTGTCTACCCTCGTTGCGCTCCCCAGTCACTCGCTTTACTCCGTACATTGTTTACCCACCCGCCCGCTCTCAGTCTCCTCCCGGGCTCCTTATCACCCGATCTGCAGGTTTCAGGGCCCACCGCGCTGGAATAATAATTGGCCTACTTTGCATCCCACTTGACTCGCCGTCTCCTGAGCAATTCTGCCGTCTGTCTGTCTGGGCCTGGGGCAAAAAAAAGCACCCCCGATTTCTTTCTGTTGATCTCTCACTCGACTTTTCCCTGATCTTCGTTCCCACTCACTCGTTTGCTGTCAATATTGGGGAACCCTGGGGACTATTGGACCATCGATCGGAATCGAGTTTATCTACTACGGGATCTGGTTGAGCTGTCTTTTTGTTTTCTTATTCGATTCGTTCGACCGTACCTAGCAACGCCATCGAATTTCTTTCATCATGCGGACAACCACCTTTCTTTCCGTCGTTTACCTCTTCCTCGGCCTGGTCTCGGCTTGGTCAAATGGATTAAACGTGGGCCACGGAGCCCTGGCTGCTCGAGCTGGTTAGTATCATCGAAACTCTTCCTATATTTCATTTAGTCGACTCATGCTAATTGTCTTTGGTTCCTCAGATGAGACTACCACCGCTGCTGACAAGGCCACTACGGGCGCCGCCGCGACCACCGATAAGGCCGCCACGAAGACAGCGACCGACGACGACTCCAAGACAAAGACCGGAAAGGAGACCGGAAAGGAAACTGGCACCGCAACTGGCAAGGAAACCGGTAAAGAGACTGGCAAGGAAACCGGTAAAAAGACTGGCAAGGAGACTGGGACGAAGACGGGCAAGGCCAGCAAGACGAAGGATGACAAGAAAACAACCTCGACCTCGATCGATCCTCGTTCGCCGGCCGGTGGTGTCAAGATGCTGACCCCGTCGACCGGTGCCTCGAGCTACTACAAGATCGGTGAAGATGTCACTTTCGTCTGGAACTACACCTCGCTGCTGGTGACCCCGTCTGCCGTCAATGTCATTGCCTCTTGCAGTCTGAACAGTGCCACTTACACGATTTCGAGCAACATGAGTGTCGAGGAGACCGGAAAGGTTGTGTGGGATACCAAGAAGTACCAGGCTAACGCGACCGTTCCTCTCCTGACTGCGACCTACACCTTGGTCATCTACGATGCGGACACCGAGATCGGTGACACGGCCGGCCCCGGTCACCTGAGCTCGCAGAACCAAATGAACTTCGGGATGTATGTGCCGCAATCATACACTCCACTGAATGGTAAGTCTACATCTGCCCCAAGGCCTCTAAAATGCCAACCATCTAACTTGATCCAGAATACCACTGCGTAACCTGCAGCGGAGCTCTATCCGACATGGAGCGCCAAGCCCTCAAGTTTGCAGTCGGAATGGTATTGATAACCGTCGCCTCCTTCACTTGGTTCGCTGGAGATTTCGGCGTCTTCTCCACATGATCTCTTCAACTCCGGACTCCCAACACCGGTGATGAAAATAACTACACTCCTACATACATCACAAAAAAAAAGAATATTCATTGCATCGAACTGAGCGAATTCTCGTTTTCAGTCATGACGATAGCGTTACTCTCAGCAAAGGAACTTGGCCTGGCGTTTAAATGCGGTATATTGCTTGGGATCTATTTCTCTTATTCCATTGTTCATTTTATTTCATCTTTCCTTTTCCCCCTACAGCACCAGCGAGGAAATTTTTGAGTATAATTATCATTTTGCGGATGATTTACCTCGTGTGATTTTTTCCTCTCTCTTTTCCCATTTTTTTTTTTTTGCCTGTATAATGAGCTGGTTGATTTGATACATAGGATTAATTCTGATGGGTATTGTACATGGATCTATTTGCAGATCTTGAGTTCGACAAAGAAGTGAAATAGCGTTAGGAGAGGACAGGACGGAACAGAATTGAAACCGCATATCTACGCTAATCTTATGATTTCAATTTAATTCATTCATCCTCCACCATACATCTGGTCAATAAATCCTATCCAATCCAATCCAACCTACACACAGCATGGTGTAACAATCCTTATTTTAATAGTTTGATTCCCCTCCCTTGTGCTATCTGAGCAGTGATGAATGACTGGTTTGTTGATCTTGCATATTCACATTGCTTTATCTTAAGTTCAAATCACCCCATTATTGTACATCCGTTCAACACCGGTCAAGAAAAGTAAATCTTCCTCCCAACTAGACTGGATCTGGCGTAAAAAAACCCCGTCGCAGAAACCCAACCCAATGGTGTTGTCGATGGCGATTAATCGATGTCCTGGGCCTGATATCTTCGTCGATAGAAGCGACGCCGCGAAGCCAGACGAGACAGTTGGTCTTGATGGTGACGGCGCGGAGGGGAAAGAGGAGAGAGGGAATAAAATGTATGTGGGCGTGAATTGCAGGTATGGGTGTGGGTATTGTTGTGAAAAGGACGATGATAATCAGAAAGGTAGGCCGGCTCTATGGTCGAGGAAGCTGGATGAAAGATATTATTTCTTGAATGAGGAAGTTATCGGTTTCCAGATGAGGAAGGACGCTTGGTTGGAAGTGCAGTTTTGTGTGTGTGTGTGATGGACATGTGGTTCTATTGTGGATCTGGGTTCGAGATGGGCGAACGACTCGGTTTATTGGCGAAATGATCTGGTATATTAGAGTACTAGGAGTACTGGGTGGTAGTGAGGGCTGGATGCCGTGGATTGGATTGCATTGACCTGAATCTGTGATGGGATTGGAGTGATTTGAGTTTGTGATGGTGGTGCTGTGTGCTTTGGTATAGTGTTCAAGCCCAGGGGTCGATCATAGGCAGCTGGCATGATAGGCCTCCCAGGTTGAAGATGGCGGTTGCCCTGCCGTTGGAGAAGGCATAAGTTTGTGCTGGCGGATCGTTGGTAGTTGAGTTGCTGCGTCAGTCATCTTGCCGCACTTCATGCAGGGTGTCTGCTTGATGCTGGAGTAGGAAGATATCATGTCCTGGTAATGATGTGAGCTAGAGCAGTCCCAGCAGTCGGCGATGTAAACTTACAAGTAGATGCGCAAGATCCCATTGCTGAGGTCGTGCATTCAGGCAGTCGGTGATCGACTTCTCCATCTTCGTCTGGGACTGTCCTGGAGCCGCCTTACTCGTGACTTGCCATTCAGGCACACCATTCCCTTCCGTTCCGCCAACGGTGTGGACATCGAAGACCATCCCCGCCTTTGCAAGAGCAACGATAACAGAATCCTGACTCTTACTGGGAATCAAACGCATACCGGGCACATTTCTCTGAGCAAAGCCGTCCACGACCGCTCTCCACCCGCCCTCAGCCGATCGGATATTCGACCGTTCCTGCTCCTCGCCAGCTTTGCGCTGCTGCTCGTTCTGCTTCTCTTGCTCCTTGAGCAGCTCTTCAAGGATCGTGTCGTAATCTTGCTCCCAAACCCCGGTAGGCTGCAGCAAGATGCCGCCATTCTCCTTGATCTGCGCATCGACATGCTCCCAGACGGCTTTCATTTCAGGGCCGCGCCACATATTCTGGAACGCCTGGACTTCGGCAGTGCCATCCTGAAAGCTTTGGGAAAGCTGCTGAAACAGAACCCCCGGTGATCTCGGCACCGACTGAGCGGCAGCCTTGGGATTCGGGTTTGGTCGCAGTGGATCCAGTAGGCGATCCGGAAGCAGAGTCCGGAGTTGGTGAACCTGCGAGTGTTAAAACCCATACATTTTCCAGAGCATGCACGCCAGCAGGAGGTGTAAGGGGGAACAACATACCATGGCCTCCAATTTCTGGAGTTTCGCCAAAGAAGATACAAGTTGCATTTCGGACTCCGAGATCTCGGCGCTGGAAGCCCCATTGTCGACCACGACCGGGGCGATGTTCCCCTTCGTCCCGGGTTGAGGCTGCTGAGGCCGAACGGCGCTCGGCGCGACATTAACTGGATTGCTCATGGTGCCGATGGTAGACAGCGTAGAAGTACTTGGATTATTATTATTGACAGGATCCGGTTTCACAATTTTCGATTTCGAGGGATCGGAGCCTTGGGGTGGGGCCGCGGTAGACGGGACCTGCATTCTGGGTACGACGACTGCTACTGTGGGAAAGTGTCTGGGGGTTTGCTTGGAGGGAGTGGGCATATTTTCTGCGTCGAGAATAATTTTCTGGACGCAGGAATTGGAGATGGGATTTCACGGGGAGCAGCAGTCTAGTATTCAGACTTGCTGGCTGACAGAGAGGGTTCAGAGATCAATATCGCGAATCTTGTGGAGTCACTTGTCAGACACTGGAAGCAGTCAAGACAGGAGGGCGTAATGATCTCTCAGTTCATGAGAAAAAAGCAGGGGATGATGGCGCTGCAGAGCTCAAGCTGGACATTGAAATGCGCCAGAACAAAGCCGCGGAATAATTGGGTGAGAGTCGCCGGGTCACGGGGGGTTGCGCCACACACTCTCTCCAGCGCCACAATGGGGCTGGGCAGTTCCCTACAGGGAAGATGCCTGAGGCTACCTATTGGTTTACGTGTTACACCCGCTACAGGTTTGGATGACCATCGCTAAACCTTCAATATCATTATCACATGGAACAGATTGTTTTCCTAAATATTAAGAAAGTCTGACTTTCACTCCCCGGTCATGCGACATGGTGAGAGTCGAATGAATCTTGGGCACCTGGATTTCCGGATCGGCACATTCTACGGTTTCGAATTTCTGAGCCAGCTTGACCAACGTGTAGCTTGCTTCTGTGAGTGCATATTGCTCTGTACGAATTAGAGTTGTTAGCAATCGAGAGTCTCGCCAATGGGAACAATAGAAGCCAAGGGTCAATTGGCGCAGGGTAACTTACGACCAAGACAGATGCGTGGCCCGCCGTTGAAAGGAAGATAGTCCCAGCTGCGTCGCCCATTTTCCTGCCAACGTTCTGGACGGAAGACGTGTGCATCCGGGCCGTAGAAGTCGGTCCGTCGATGCATGGCGTAGACACTGTAAGTGACAACCATTCCCTTTGTGACGTAGATTGGAGATTTGCGATCCGGCCCTCCTCCCACAGGCAGCGAGGTGTCCCTAGTAGCGACACGGAAATTCAAAGGCACGGGTGGCATCAACCGAAGGACTTCATTCAGGACGTATCGCAGGTACGGGATGTCCTTCAACTTGGTCTGTGTGATCTGTTCTCTTGGGTGTTCGCTATCTCCGAATTCCTCCACGATTAACCCCCGAAGCTTCTTCCAGACGGCGGGGTTGCGAGACATAAAGAAAAAGGCCGAGCTGAGTAGACTGGCCGTGGTATCACGACCGGCGAGCAAGATATTCAGCATGTTATCACGAAGAACCTTGGGGTCGTCGTTGTCCTCGGCCAGTGCTTCAGCGAAGATGTATCGTCCCTGCTCCTTCTTTTCGGGATGATTCTTGGATTCGATCGCGAGGCGCACATAATGGTCCACGACCTCGTGGACACGCTTGACGGAATCCTGGAATTCCTTCGGATTCACCATCCAGTAGAAGCCCACCGCTCGGGACCGTGCCGTAAGATAATCCTGGGATGTGTTGAATGCCTCCGCAAAGCCCTGGGCATTGCCAACCGACGACTTCTCCAGAAGACCCGCATCGGCGGAAGAGTGCATCGAGCCCACGGACTCGCCGAAAAGGAAGTGTGTCGCAGAATCGATGGTCAACATGAAGAAAAGGCGCTGAATATCAAAGGATGAGCCGTCGGTCGGAATGAGATCAATCATACGGGAGATATGGCCATCCATGAGATTCAGGTCGGCCACCTGGTCTCGCGCGAACTGGGGTCGCAAGAGACCCCGCGCATGAGACCAACCTCCGGCGTCGAGAGTGAAAATGCCATCGCCAAGTAAGGGGTAGAACTCGCGGTGCCGGGTCCCCAAGCTGAAGTCGGTGAACTGGGTGGCTAGGATAGCCTTGATGTTTTCCGGATCAATGGTGGAAATCATCCACCGACCCATGACCTTCTGCGTGAAGGTATTTCCATAAATTCCGTACTGATTAGCTATGTATTCCACCCATCGTTTTTCTTTGGCGGCGCGAGACAATCGATAAAAGGACCTAAAGCCGAAGATACCGGGGGTGCCTGGGGGGGCCGGTTGACAACGTAGGGATTGTGCGTGCTTGCGCTGCTTGTATAGTTGTTGAATGTATTGTAGGACCAAGAAGGTCAGGTACAGGGCGCCACCAAAGACTACCAGGGGAGCCAGCATGGTTGCAGGGGGGGTTAAGAAATCACTCGGAGGATAAGAAGGGAAGAAAGAGTGAGGACCAGAAATTAGTATGAAGGTCTTTCCCCCAAGCATTTGTGCCTTGCAGTGGGAATCGCTAGTAATATATTCATGCGGGTTGCTAGTCTCCGGGGTCGCCTCGGTCGAAACGCATGTGAGGAGGGAGTGTCAGACTGGACATGCCTCGATGGGCCGAGCGAGAGAGAGGGGGGAACAGGTAAGGAACGGGCAATGATGAGCAATGACCCAAAGATAGGGAGAATGATTGGAAACATGACGAAGAGGGATTCCACTTCGGAAACGGGTAGATCGCAAGTATGTCCCAAAAGGGCTAGATCCCTCAATATTATAATCATACCGACTCCGATCGGGTCGATTATCATCTTACTATTACTATTAGGCTTCTGTATGTATGTACACCGTACTGGACTCAGTGCTTGGATCCGCTTCCTTCGGCGGGCTGATAACATTTCAGCCACTCCTTCAGCGCCGCATTAAACAACTCACGTGAACCCTTGCCCGCCGTGGACACGAGCTGAAAGTCATAGCAGTGCATCGAGTTTTCAAGAATCTGTCCAAATACCGTGTTCGTGCTTGTCTCTCCGCACTCGGGGATCTCGGTTGTCCAAGTGACGTCTTGTGGCGCGATTTCTTCGGTCGACACAATGGACAACGTGCGCCAAGGATCGAATTCACCCCCGCTAAAATAAACGTTGGAAGGTCGGATATCCCACCCACCAAGCTCCGCATTGAGCGCATCGGCCTGCGGATGTGCTGGGATCATACCGGGGAACTGTCGGTCACAGATCCATTGCTGGTACTCCAGCGTTTGGTAGCGAGATAGAAGCCCGTGGGGTCCGAAATTGTTGCTTTGAAGAAATCCCCATTCCGTACAATACATCCATGTCCAGCTGATCGAGTCCGGGTCGGTGAGCGCAGAGCTCAGTTCGCAGTCTAGGGGAAGTGAATCGTCATCTTTTCTGCAGTTGGCCCCCGTGTTGAGATTGACCAGGGGCGTGAACACAGGCCACGAGGCCCAGCGCTCGGCCAAATGTTTGTTTCCGAGGGTTGGAGCCAGTCCCTCTGGGCCCGCCGTCTGGCTGGTCTCCGGGTCAAGCTCCAAGTAGTTGCAGAATTCTTCCAGGCTCCCTACGCTGGTCCCGGCTGTCCCGTAGTTTTGGAAAAAACCATACAAAGCGCCTAGGGCCGTGGTGAAGTCCTCGTTGCTATTGTTTTCGGCTCCATCGCCGAGGAACAGCTTCTTGATAGAGGCTGACGTTTGAGGGTCTGCTAGCTGCTCGTCGATATAGTCGAGAGCCGCATGAATGTCTTTGGTGCAGTTCCCAAGCCCGTTAGCGACCATTCCCCGGTAAACCGGCTCGTAGTATATGCCCATATCAACGCGAGCTTGCACCGGAGCGGACGAAGAAAAGGCAGCGAAAATAGTGTCGGGATATTCGTTACGGGTGAAGGCAGCCCGAGACCCGGCATATGATCCGCCAACCATGACCCATGGTGTGGACTTGGGGGTTAGATCCAGTTCGGGGTGGCTTTTACGACAGAACGTTTTCGCAAAATGGGGGATATCTTGCAGGGCCTGCTTAGTGGTGAGATACTGTAAATGTTCCGCGGGTGTGTTGTTATTAACGGGAAACGGAAGCGAGTCTCCAAAGTATCTGACTCCTGTTAGCCCTGCGTTCTGCACAGCATGTGGGAAGCAAGACAAACCGGTGCTCCCAAACAATCCCTACAGCCTGAAATTCCTGCAGAATTTTCCGAAAAAAAGATAGATCCGACGTTAAGCGGGATTGGGCTATCGCTTCTGCTCCGGACTCCCCGGCGTCATACAAGATAACTGGGCTTCCGGGGACAAAGAACTCTTCATTTACCCAATATCGATTATTATAAGTTCCAACAGACACATTGGAATGGTCAATAGGAATCTGAGAGGCGATATTAGGAGATGTCATAGTCACCAGACGACATAGGGGACCATACCTCGACATATTCTGCTGGGATCGCAGGAGCTTGGTTCGGATCATGAGATATTAAAGAATGGAAAGTCGAGCGATCGTTTAAATATTGGCTTGGATCTATGCCTAGCTCAGCCGCCAGGTCAACCTGTCGTGTGAATTCTAGATTGTGTAATCCCAAGCCCAGTACAGGACTGGACAAAAGCACCAAGGAGAAAAGACTTGAATATGTGAATGTAAGCATGTTGCAAGGTGTGTCTTCAAGGGTCTGATAACTCAGCCCTTAATTAGTGTTGACATTTATCTGAGAGCATACACAGGGTACCTCGTACGGAAGGACAGTCTGCGTTATATACTATCAGGTCAGGCGAACAATGCCGCCGCTCACGGAGAATGGCGTGACAAGACAGCTATCCTGCCGATATTGACCTGTCTAGCAAAGACATGGATACCAGGAAGTGGGTTCCATCTCATTCAGACCACGATCTAATTGTGTGCAGCAGAAACAAAAGTATGTTGAACAACAGGTTGCTCAATGCGAAATGACGGTTTGACGTCTTCGGGAAGGGCTCGACAGGGGCGGGTGGCGCTGTCCGGAACGACGATAGGAATGCTTCCAAGGGATGAACCAGCCTCCAGATAGCATTATCTGGACGAAAACAAACAGTGCCTCAATACCTGTGGCAGGTTTAAGATTTCCATAAAGCTATTAGAGCATGATCATCTGTCATAGAACCCCTTTCATCGAGCTGGGAAAAACATGATTAACACGGAGATAAACGAAGGTATTCAGGATGATATCAATACGGAAGGGTCCATTTTCAACAGGGCGACCGTAGATTGAAACATGCAGTGTCTGTGTACATATTCGGTTGTATTGCCGAGTCGCTAGCTTCTTGAGACATACCAGGCACTTTCTAGAGCGATTCATGTCAACAAATTTGGAAAAGAGAATGCTATGGTGTCGGATCATTTTTCCGACGAGTTATCCATGATTCTAACCAGCGCAGTTTGGTTTTGGGTCATTGAGTAGACCTGATGTGATGCATTTGACGTGAAACCTAGATACCGGTGGGATAGGAACCGCATGCAACAAAGAAGTTGCCTCAAAGACTGGGGGATTCCTGTGCCACCTCAGAATACGCGACAATTGGAATGCGCCTGTCTCCCAAAAAGGCTAGTCCCGATATCATAGGATTATGCTGCCGGATGGAATTCGTCAGTGTTTCCACGGGAGAGGATGGTTGACAGCATCGCTGGAGAATTGCACCGACTTGATGCCAGGTTTTATAGCAAGAAAGAATACATTTTGTGCAGTTTGGTATTGGTTGTCTGTCAAGTTCAGAGAGTCCGATCCCAATTCATCTGAAAGAATTGTCACCTGATCACTGTTGCCACGGTGTGGCGGACTGACCGAAGCCGAGTATGTCTTGTTTGCTGCGAGACCGTAATTTCCTTGTAGCTGAATCTTCGAGAATATCTGGAAAGACAGAGTGCGGGACAGGAGAGAGAAGTGAATGGTGGACTCGATCAACCTCAGGCACTCCTTTGCTGACACGTGCAGGCACATGACCAACCTTGTGCTACATTTGATCTGATCATCGGGTCAGATTCGGGTAGATGTTACTTCTTCCCAACGCCTGCCAGAAACACGGATGAATTGAAAACCAGACAGGACTCTGCTGTATTTGTCATTTAGACACATTGTCACACTATCACATACACCGACACGGGACTCCGTCGGAAGAAAGTATTGTCAAGGACAGCAGCCATTTCGTTCCTGGAAGGCAGGTGGAAATGGTTGACAAGAGGGATTGGACCCAGTCACCCACTCAGCAACAGCCGGGCCCACCCGGAGTTTCATGGCAAGCTACTCCGCCCGCTGGCGAGTCCCAAAACAACCCGCTGATCTTGGCAGCTTAGGGCCGCAATAACATCGGTACAGGGTGACACTAAGAGCACGGGGTGCAGGACCGAGCACATGGTAGGGCTAAGAAATCAAGGTCCTTACGGAGTAGGCCAATTTCTACCTCCGGCGGGGCGGACTGTCGTTCCTAAACACAGGCCAACTTGACTGATCACTGATGTGACATTTCACGGAGCACCAAATGATTGATGGACATTCTGCATGAGCGAAATAACATTATTGATTTCACCTTGTCAGCCTTGTTACCGGACTCCTTTAGACAATCTACCTATCAATAGCCGTGAAATACAATGCCGGCTTAATAGCAACAGCCTAGCAGGCCTCGGACCCTTCCCACGTAAAAGGTCCGATCAATTACTCCTTTTGAAATGCCACCAATCTGCATCTGGGATAGAGTATAGGATTGCTTAGTGCTCCTATGACGATTGAGGAATGAGGTCCGTGGCGTGGAAGGAAAGAGGCGCTTTTCAAAAACGAGTGGGCAATCAATTATCCGACCTTGCTCAACTTCGCTTCGATCACGGTCAACTAAAGATATCCGTCCACCATTGAAAGACGATCATTGACAGAATTGGCTTTCTTCAGCATGCTTAACTTGGATTTAGACGGGTGATCAGCAGTCATGAACTCGGATTTTCGCTGTAAAGAAAGCCGATTGTCGATCGCAATGTGACAGTGTGAGGACGCTCGGGTCAAAAAATCGAAAATCAAAGCTTGACTCCTCATGTCTACGCATCAGACCAGAAGACCATGAATTTTCACCGTATATGGCTATATCAGAAAGTGGTTGTTACTCGGATTCGTCTACCGAAGCTAACGGCTATAAAGTGGGTTCCCATTCTGAAGAAGATGAAACGACCATCTACGCCGTCGGATTAAAGGAGCATTCAGTTAAACAGGGGGTTCTTGGACCAAGCTGGTGTGCATTCGATGAATTCCACTCCGACGACTAGTATCCGCAGCTTTCTCCGCAATTTCTGGATATTAAAAGAAATATCGATATTAATAGTGGATGTCGTTATGGCTTTAGTACCGGTCGCCTACGCTCGGTAGCCCCGGTCTTACGGCCGTGTCGAGTACTACATGGCGTGCAAGTAAGCTGTCGCTTGTCAGATTGGTGGAACTGAGTCATGGACAGGATGTTAAAATGATCAGGGGCTGTAGGATGATGCGAAGGGTTCGCTGATGATAGTTCATGCTAGCAAGTCTGGGCACTTTTACTTTGTTTTATTTTTATTTTTATTTTTATTTTTATTTTCTCAGCCAGAAGAAACTCCTGTCGGCGACGGACATAAATATCTTCGCTACCCGCCAAAATGTCTAACCTGATCTCCACTCAAAATGTGGTCGAAGGCCTTCTTCCTGTCATCGCTCTCGCTCTGGGCCAGAGTCGCTAATGCGGCGTTTGGACTCACCACCAACGACAACTCCTATGTCATTGACGCAGGATCACCAAACTCGCTGGTATTCACCGTGAGCCGCTCCAGCTGTGACATTACCTCCATCAAATACTACGGCTCCGAGCTTCAATACTCCAGCACGGGCAGCCACATCGGCTCTGGTCTCGGCAGCGCCACTGTGTCTGCGGTCCAGAATGGTCGGTGAATCCACATTCAAGGGGTTCGAGATTGGCTTCTTACTGTGTATAGGGGATTACATCAAGGTCACTTGTGACGCCGGCACTTTGACCCAATATTTCGTCGTCCACAATGGAGACCCTATTATCCACATGGCGACCTATATCACTGCGGGTTAGTACTCTTACGGTCGAAGCTACGATGATCTAGTCCTGACAAAATTCAACAAATAGAACCCTCGATCGGCGAGCTACGATTTATCGCACGTCTCAACTCGGACCTGCTTCCTAACGAGGAACCTTTTGGCGCTGTTTCAACCACCAGTGGCGGCAGTGCTATCGAAGGATCGGACGTGGTGAGTACTGCGAGTCGATGAGGTGATAATGGTTTCTGATTTCAATATAGTTCAACGTCAATGGCCAGACGCGCAGCAAGTTCTACTCCAGCCAACGGTTTATCGATGACCAGAGGCACTGTAAGAGAACGAGGAAGATTACTTCACAACGCTTAATGCTAATCATACCTAGGTATTTCGGGAAGTGCTCACCGCGTCTGCATGATCCTCAACCAGTACGAAGGCTCCTCTGGCGGTCCTTTCTTCCGGTGAGTGACAAAACAAATTTAGCCAGCGATCAGCTTACTGATGCCTTTTAGTGATATCAACTCCAACAACGGCGGCAGTTACAACGCTCTTTACTGGTACATGGTATGTTATCATCCGACCTCGATCAAATAGCGCATGCTCATCCGTATAGAACTCGGGCCACGTTCAAACCGAGAGTTACCGCATGGGCCTCCACGGCCCTTACTCCATGTACTTTAGCCGCAGCGGAACCCCCAGCACCGACATCGATACCTCCTTCTTTGGCAACCTCGACATCAAGGGTTACGTCCCTGCGAGTGGACGAGGAACCGTCAGCGGTACTGCATCGGGCGCTGACTCCAAATTCAAATGGGTCATTCACTGGTAGGATGCAAGCCCCTACTACCTGAGTGGATCAAAGACACTAACGCCAGAGAAGGTTTAACGATGGCGCTCAATACTGGACCTACACCGGGTCGGGTGGTGCTTTCACCTCCCCGGCGATGAAGCCCGGTACCTACAAAATGGTTTACTACCAGGGTGAATTCAAGGTTGCCGAATCGTCTGTTACGGTGACTGCGGGATCAAAGACCACCAAGAACATTTCCGGCTCTGTTTCGACTGGCACAACTATTTTCAAGATTGGTGAATGGGATGGACAGTGAGTCCTATCCCCATACTAGCTTCCTCACCTGCGAAAATATACTCACAACATCTAGACCAACCGGCTTCCGTAACGCCGAGAACCAGCTCCGCATGCATCCTTCCGATTCTCGGATGAGCAGCTGGGGCCCGCTCACCTACACAGTGGGCAGCTCGCAGCTGACCGATTTCCCCATGGCTCTGTTCAAGTCCGTCAACGACCCTCTTACCATTAAGTTCACCGCGACCTCTGCCCAGACCGGCGCAGCTACTCTGCGTATTGGAACCACCCTTTCTTTTGCAGGCGGTCGTCCTCAGGCAAAGGTATTTTCATATCAAAGAAACCAACGAAATTGAGCCATGCTGACCCAAACTAGGTCAACAGCTGGAGTGGCAGTGCTCCATCCGCGCCTGCGAACCTCAACTCCCGAGGCGTCACTCGCGGCGCGTACCGTGGGAACGGAGAGGTCTACGACGTTAGCATCCCTGCCGGAACTATCGTCGCAGGGTCCAACACGGTTTGTCTTCCGTTACAATTTAAATTTATTGAGCGATGAGACTAATATGAATTAGATTACCCTGTCTGTGATCTCCGGAAGCTCAGGGGCAGACTTCCTCAGCCCTAACTTTGTGAGTTTTGGCCTTCCTTAGGAGAGATGGTATATTTACTGACAATGCGTACAGGTCTTTGATTGCGTGGAACTTTTCCAGTAGATCACAGTCTACTGAGATAGTACCTAGGGAAGAGTTGATCTCGGACCTAGGTGCCGCAATCCCGGCTGTTCCTAACAAGCTTGGGTAGTCTACATCGAACAAATTTGTGTCTTATTCTATAGTATACAACGTACAATGAAGTAGGTCGGGCATGAGATCTCATGTCGGTTACCCAAGCTCTTTGCGATCATCTACTAGAAATACTTCATTTCACCTTGATGAGATGGCCCTTTTTGCATGGGATGAATATTAAGAAACAGTAAAGCACGCCCCATGCAGTACATCGTATTAAAGGAATAAACGGCAGCTAGCGTTTTAGCAATAGTAAAACAACGCCAATCACAGCCCTCTGTTGTGTTCGCGTGAATTCATCATATACTTACCACCGTACTCTCCGGACCTTAATCCTATTGAAGAGTTCTTCGCCGAACTCAAAGCCTTCATTCGTCGACACTGGGATTTTTATGAAAATAACCCGGAACAAGGATTTGATTGTTTCCTCGAATGGTGTGTTGACAAGGCTGGTGGTAAAGATCAAAATACCAGAGGACACTTCAGACACTCAGGTTTAATGATAGAGGACCAATAATATGCATATTTAGCAGATGACTTGATATATCTATGGCAGAGGATCCCCACCCCCCAGAGTATCCATAGCATATTTGGAAGGAGGGCGGCTATGGTATAATATCCGATGTACTTACCTCGCTGGCCCCGGTGTCAAAGGTTGATCTGATGAGTAGCATCATTTCTATTTACGGGTATTTTTGATTTTGATCAGCAGACAAGTAAGTGTTTAGCACCTTCCTGGGAAATGACAAGAATTCATAGGCTGACGAAGATGGGATGTGGATAGAGTGTATGTGTTTAACCCCTTCCGCTCGAGAGATAACTTGAGAATACATAGGCTGACAGGAATGGGATGTGGATAGCCTGTATGTGTTTGACCCCCTTCCGCTTGAGAGATAACTTGGGAATATATAAGCTGATAGGGATGGGATGTGGATAGGAAGTATGTATTTGATCCCTCTACTTGAGAGATAACATGAGAATATATAGGCTGACAGAGATGGGATATGGAAAGTGTGTATGTGTTTGACCCCCCTGCCTTCGAGGGATAACTTCAGAATATATAGGCTGATAGGGATGGGATGTAAATAGTGTGTATGTACTTGATCCCTTTCGCTCGAGAGATAACATAAGAATACATCAGCTGACAGGGATGGGATGTGGATAGTTTGTATGTGCTTGACCCCCTCTCACCTAGGAGACTGCCTAACTTAATTAAACCTAGTAAAACACCTTGTCGGATATGCTTGGTACTACAGTATCGGCTAAACCTTTTGGATGTAAGGACTGAGAACCATGTTATGGCTGTTATCGACTGATATATTGTTTTGCAAGCATATCCAGATTATGCCCACTATTCCTAAGGAATATCTCATGAATAATTGGGCTTTTGGTTTGGATAGGGTTCTTGATCGGCCTTAGTTTAGGTTTTTCCCTATTTAATTAGGTTTCCCTACACTCTTGTGCGAATGCAAAGGCTTCTTCTATACAACGAATTTACTTTTACTCTTGAAGTCCCAAAACTAAGTCATGAAACAAATTATATCTACATGGACTGTATTTTGATCATACCCTTTGTCCAGGAGACACTGTTACTTTAGCGCCTTGGTATTAGGGTTGGGAATGAGATTTGTTTTCGCGGGCTGAATGAGGTTTCGACACCGAATGTAGCAACAGGAAAAAAATACTGTCAGCCCTGGCGGAGCGGCTTTTTGAAAAATTGGTCGAGGCAAGGCTCGGGCTTGTCCTCAGCAGCAGCGGGCTTGGGCTTCCACTCATCCAGGATGAAGTTGGGCTTGCCAAGGGCCTCAAGGGGGTGCTTGGGCTTCTTGGGCCTCTATCAAGGGGTGCAATATGCGAGGTCGAGGCTGCAACATCAGTGCTTGCTAGCGGAAAAGGCTGTCCTGGGAGAACGTTGATATTAATAGGGGGACACAGTGTCCCTCCCAAGGAATGACTGGGGCCCTTCCTTTTGCTTCTCGATCCGTAGTTCCTCCTCTGCATACAACTGTTGACGTATATCTTCTGGTACGTCATCATGGATTTCCAGAATGCCGCCACACTCTGCAAACTTGACCAGGCTCTTCAGGTGATGGGTTCTTAGTTTATAATGCTTTTGCCCACAGGATCCTGCCAGCAGTACTGTCCATCGTGGCGGCAGGGTAGTCCAGGACAACGCATTGTTTTATACACTTCCCGCCAGATCATTGGCTATCCAGAGGCATGCTCGGCATCAATCTGGATATCGCGATCAGAGAGCATCCTTCTGGTCACCGAAGTCTTTGCCCTTTTGTCAGGACTGGTCGATAGAGGGGAGTCGTTGTCCATAATATAGTTGATGGAAATATATAGTTTCAGCCTTTTACCGGGCAAACGTGACAAGTTCTCCCATGCCAAAAGTTGCTTCTCTATGGCTGTCTAGCCAACGTCAGTATTGTCGAAAGTCTTGATCAGTTTTTGCTGGCTGCGATCATTTACAGATACAGTGATTTCAGTGTCATCTGGTCTGACCCGTTGGTTGCGTTTAATTTTGCGGCAAACAGCATTTTCAGCGTTTTCCTTTATTGTTTCCCAGTATGAGCCAGGCTTTAGATCCAAATCTTGCTCCGTGTCTCTTTTAACTATGCGGTTGTTCAGAGTCACCTTCCATTCAATTAGATAACGAATGTAGGATTGCGATTGTTCATCATGAGTTTCCCCATCCTTTGTCAATTGACGGAAGCCTAGTTGATTGGATGAACGGCGACGCAAGGGCGAGGAATGTGCATCAGGTACATGGTCGGAAGAAAGGCTAAACACGGATGGCGTACTCTCACGGTCGAAAAAGCCAGGGGTACGATGGGGTTGGTTCCCATAGTTCAGGTTGTTGGGCCTGAGAATTTTCATCACTCAAGGGACTGAAGGCCATCGAGGCAGTAGATGCCACCAAGGAGTATAAGGTTAGAAACATCATGTCAGCTTACAACGCAAGGGTCAATACAATGTTCTGCAAGGGGAAGCTATAGCTGACAGGCTCAGAAGAATGACTATCAAAGTTATCTATTCTAGGTAGATTAGGCAAGGCTTCGTTGAGCACTGCCCTTTCTGGTTAGTTTCGAATAAACAATATACGAGTTGAAGATACAAGGTGACGCAGTGGAGGAAAAGCTCGCCAGACATGAGAGGCACAAGCTCTAGCCAATTTGTTTGGTTCGTTTGCGTAGAACCTTCTCCCATAACTAAGCGATCTGTTGTGTCCGTAACAAAAAGCTGTTGTGTCCTTAACAATTCCCGAATCATCTGGGTACCACAATGGGAATTGATAGGTATCGGAAGCGGAAAAATGGTTACACCGATCAAGGGAGGAACCTCCGATTATGTGGCCACGTCGGCCAAATATTTGATAGTTAAACACTCAAGCACTCATACTCTAGACTACGTTTAGTAGAATATTACGGTTTTTCAAGGTTCTACTACCTGCCTGGGTCTCGTGCAATTAGGCTAATCGACTCCCTCTGTCCATTCCCCTGAGCAGACCTTCGAGTACGGACTCTTCCCCGAGAATTCACTCCAATCCTCTCTATTAAGTAGGGGCACTCCATTATCTATTGTTCAACAAGTCATAACTCTGCCATCATCTTCGATCTGCTTCTATTGGGGCGATCATGAGTTGGCTAAAACGTCATCCCCTGTCTTCTCTGGGCACTGCTTCGCAGGCCGGGTCGGATAGTGACGACAAAACCAATGAATCTAGAGACTGCTCAGACACCGAGTCCACATACAGCAACGAATGCGCGTCTAATCGTGGATATGGCACGGATGATACTCTTGCCGTTACTCGGGTGTTGGAACAGCATGGTATCCCTTGCTGTCTGGTTGGTGTAGCTGCCCTCGTTTTCTACGGCGCTGGCAGAGTTCGTGAGGTAAGTCGCTCAGGAGCTCTATCTCTACCTTTTTATGCAGACTAATATTATCTGTCTCATGTCGCAGGACTGGGAAATTTGCGTTCCAACAGAGCTCGTGGGCCAGGCAGCAGAGCTACTACAATCAGAATCATACGCAACGCAGTATCGCCTAGTCAAACCGTGGCCCTATTACAGTCCCTGCTCTCTTATCCACACATACCACCGGTTCAAAAGCAGAGGGATTAATCATTACTTCTTCCTCGTTCCTTCAATTGACGTGCATATTGACTGTGACCCTTCCAACTTCACACGCAGTCCCAGAGGGTTGCCGTATCCTAAGCTGGATGTCTTTATTCAGAGCTGTTTAGATACCCGTGACATGCTCCAGCTTTGCGATGTTATAGACGGTACCAATGTTTCAGAGGAATGGGGCGAGAATAACCTTAACCTTGAGGGTACTAACGATGTAGAATGGGCCAAAGAAAAGAATAAGAGGGGAAAGGAGTTTGGCGGAAAGTGGGCTCATTCTCTGTTTGCCTGGGAAGGACGGAAAGACAAACGGGAGATGTGGCTGTCATTAGTGCGCACCAAGGAAAACAGGTTGGACTGGACAAAACCCAAGGATGTCTTTATAACTCAATATCGTGTTATAGGCTCGCCGGATCACTGGACAGAGCTATCTGACATGTCTTAATGGTCTCTAGCGGGGTATTCAGTCTGTTTTATCCATAGCTCTATCTGAACTTGAGGGGAGTTGAGGGGTTTTCGTGGAATGTCTCGGGAGTGTATATTAGAAGGTTGCCACCGGAACCTCAATTTCTAACTCTATGAAATAATAATAACTAGTACTATTTGCTCGGCGTACATGTCCTGCATTTTTGTTACTCAGGCTCTCTTGGATCAAGAGTACGACATGCAACAGGTTTCAGATATCCGAGTTGTAAGCATTCATCCGTCCATAATATAAAACACAGGCCATTTAGCGTTACAAAGAAAGCATCTTCTTTACTGCTTCACGCCTTGTTTTGTCCTCTTCACCTGAGTCATAGACCTGATAGAAACTTTCCCGCATATTCTTATCTAAGTGTTGACTCCACTTCGCGATTTCACGACCATAATTAGTCAAGAGGAAAACTAGATCGAGAAAGTCCGAGTCCTTCCTTCTTGCGAACCACGCAGTAAGCTTTGTCTCGACTTGCCATGTAATATGGATAACGTTCACCCGGCTCCCTTGTGGTGTTTGAAATGATGGAGGAATTGATTCACGAGATTCCGACTCGCTGAGGTTGGGGGTTCCTATCGCACCTATCAAGACATCAGTAAGTGTACCTTTGAAGCCATGGCTGACTGATGTCGGAAAACAAGTGAAAATTACTAAGCAGGCCTGCTTAGTTAGTTACCAGAAATGATAATATCTACACCAACAACTTGTCCCCCTTCATCAATGTCAATGAACATCCTCTCTTGAATCCCACCAGCAGTCTCATAAAATGCCAATATTGCCCTAGTATGTATTCAGCGTAGCCAACAGAGAGGTTTCGTGGTTATAGGACATACCAACTGTATTGGGCCAAAACAGTTCTAACCTCGACCACGGAGGGGACCAAGATAAGGAAGTCGAGGTCGTGGGTCTCTCGGCGTGATCCTCGAAGCCTAAGTGCCCATCCACCAAACCACGCTGTTTTCATGCCACGAAAGGCTTGTTCGAGATACGATGCGGCCTTGGCTAGTTGATCTGGTCTAGCCCTTGCAGCATTGCTTTCAAGTTCTCTAAGCTCCTTTGGCGAGGTTTTGCCAAAGTACTTGGCTCCGCTAGATTGATCGGTGCGCTCCGCTTGAGACATTGGAGGGATATTTTGTTAGGATCGCGGTGCGATCAAGATGAGAAAGATGCTTGAATTCCTAAAGATGCAGTGTAGCTGCGAGAGAGCTATTTACCGTGTGGATCAGATGACACTATAAACTACATTAGGAAGGAGAAGCGGCCCAACATATTTAGTTCTTGGGCAGTGAATGTAACAGAGGGAAGGGGTTCTATGTAGGATGATAGTAATGATTCATTTTTAAGGGACTTGCTAGGTATTTATGCTAATCAAGTTGTTTTCCCTATAGTGGCTGCGGTGCAGGACCTCCACACACAATCAAGGATCGGCACGGATAAGTCCTTTAGTCTATAAGCACTATGGTGATTAGCAGAATAACATGAAACTAGTGGAGCCTACATAGAACTTTCAATGGAAATGTATTGATTTGATGCCGTATACTCCAGAATGATCTATTGATTGTAGAGATTAGATCTAAACTTTATATAGAATTAGCCTTTAGATAGATATAATTGTTTGATCCTTGAATATGTCCAAATCCTCCATCTATTGTCTGTCTATTAATTGATACATTCAACAAGTACATATAGATGCCCTATAAGTTATCTATCACCTGAATCTCCGCAATGCAATGAAAGTCCCAATAGTCACCGCACCGACTCCCCAAAGCCAGCTCCAGGAAGAGCCTCTCGTGCGGAAATAACCCTTCTGCAGACCACCAGTCCGTCGATGGACCAGTTTCCCACGCACCCAGACGGCACGCACATTCCGATCATCGCCATTCCACACCCACTTCTCGACCTTCTCTCCCCAACTCTCCGTTCCAAAAACATCCACCCGATTCTCATCTCCCCCTACCGTCTCCAGCCCGGAGACATCCCCACCCAGCGAAATCAACTGCGCATCCCAGCTCATCCCCAGATCAAACCCACCCACCTCGTCCGCCAGATCGACGAGTTCCGCACCGCCCCTCGTCGCCAGATACAGCGCGTCCCCGACACTCAGAGCTATCCGCTGTGCCTCGTCATCCGTGATGCTCGCATCCGTATGCCGATACAGTCGCGAGACCAGACACGCCTGACGCACATTCTCCAACACACTCGCATCATACCCCCCGCTCACATCGGTTCCCAAACCCACCTGGATGCCCGCATCCAGGAGCCCACGCACCGGACAAATTCCAGACCCCAGCGCCGAGTTCGACGCGGGACAATGCGAGATTTTAGCGCCGCGGGCACGGATTGTCGCCTTCTCCGCCTTAGACAAGTGGACTGCATGCGCAAGGATAGTGCGCGGTGTCAAGAGCCCATGCGTCGCGTACACATCCGCATAACTCATCCCGTAGATCGACTCCACGGCAGCCACCTCGTTCTTGTTCTCCGAGATATGCGTCTGGATGTGCAGTGGGGGGTCAAATTCCTTCGCCAACGCCGCGACCCCGTCCATCGTGTCTTCCGAACAGGCGAGCGCGAACCGCAGCGTGAGGACCGGTTTCACGAACTCGCCATGCGGGTCGATGGTGTGGATGTGTTGGATGACGTCGCGCGTCAGAGATACCGACGCCGCGGGGCTCTCGTCTCGATAGTCCGTCGGGGTCTGGTCGGTGCGGTCCATGCAGACGCGGCCAATGAGGGCGCGTTGGCCGGCGCGCTTGCAGAGGTCGGCAAGGAGGTTCGTGGCGGGGACGTGGATGGTCGCGAAGTACGAGGCGCAGGTGGTGCCGTTGGCGAGGGTGCGGGCGATGACGCGGTTGTAGACGGTGCGGGCGCGGTGCGTGTCCTGGAAAGATTTCTCCATCGGGAAGGTGTAGGTTTGGAGCCATTCGAGGAGGGTGAGGGTGCCGAAGAGGCCGGAGTTGGGATATTGGGGGGCGTGGATGTGGGTGTCTGGATTTTGAAGCGTGGATAAGTCGTTTGTTTGTGAGAGGTTGGACTCCAAGTATGTGTCCCAATGAACACAACAAAGATACTAATAAGGTCTATCGTAGAATGAACGTACCGATAAACCCCGGAAAGAAGAACTCATTCCGTTTCTCCTCTGCCTTGACAATACGGACTCTGGGTCTTTTGGAGAACCCAGACGCACTCGAACCTTCCACAACCCACCCCTTGCTCGTCACCAGGGCCAGCAGGTCCTCATGGCCGTGAACACTCCAATCGAAGCCCTGAATGCGACCGTCGGCATTGGACACCCAGAGCGCGCCATGCTGGATTACAAGCTCGTGGTTAAGCCCCGTTTTCTCCTTCGGGAGGTGAACAAACGTCCCGAAGTAGAGGGTACAGGGCGGTGATGTCATGGTGGATGAGACGCCAGTGTTCGAACCAACACTATAGATGGGTTTGAGTAATTAAGAGTGAACAGGTGTTTGAATGAATAGGCCTGCCATGAAAACGTCAGAATGCGCGAACAGTCACATGCAACGCCACAGCGGACTTACCCTATCGGGCTACCTACTGTGTTGAGTACAAGCCCAATCCGACAAGATCAGCAGTGATTGGGGTGGATCGCAGATGCAAATGCAATGATCGACCGGCAGGTGGGACACGAAGGGACGAACAGGTCGCGGGGACCGATAGTTTACGGGGTTCGAAGCCTTATAAAGAATGCAGGAAGGGTCATGGCGCATGTGAGAGAGGAGAAATGCGACGCAAGATAATCCCTCGGGGCGAGAATGGCGAACTCCGCCAATGACAAGCCGCTTAACGGCCGGCTCCGATGCCATACTGGGTTTAGCGTGAAGAGATAAGATGTGGGCTTGATAAGATAAGAGGCACGTGTTGATAAGACTAACGGGTGATGCATACAAGACAAACACCATCTTGCAGTATGGGCAGAGGGCTACGATCCCATATACGAACTATATCAAGACCAGTTGAAGGATAGCAAGTGAGGGGCAGAGTCCCAACAGCTCTTGTATCATGCTAGTTTTATCTAAGGATCTAACGCCCACATCCCAGTATCTATCAGGATTATGTTGAATCTTGTATGTCGCCGTAGCCGCGACTATATCACCCAAAGCCCAACCAAATATTCAGAGTAAATGTTGAAGAGAACAAAAAAGGCAAGTCAAAACAAACAATTCGTAAAGAGTAACATGGGTATCATATCTAGTCGGTATCTTCAACAGGTCCGCATGTGCAGAACAGGTTCTGATCACCATAGGCTGTGCAATCGTTAGTATATATAGGTTCACAATAATGCTGCTTTGGAAGGTGACTTACCATCATCCACTCGCGTGACCGAAGGCCAGAACTTCTTCTCCAGAAGCCACGACACGGGGTACGCGGCGGCCTCCCGCGTGTACGGGCGGTTCCACTCGCTGGCCAGAAGGTCACGTTGCGTGTGCGGTGCCATCTTCAGCACGTTGCCCTCGCGAGGCTGGGTGCCGCTCTCGACGGCGGCAATCTCCTGGCGGATGGAGATCAGCGCGTCGCAGAAGCGGTCCAGCTCGGCCTTGCTCTCCGACTCCGTCGGCTCGATCATCAGGGTGTTGGACACGGGCCACGACATGGTGGGCGCGTGGAATCCGTAGTCTTGCAGACGCTTGGCGATGTCGATCGCCTCCACGCCGCAGGTATCCTTAAACTGGCGCACGTCGAGGATGAACTCGTGCGCGCAGCGGCCGTTATCGTTGGTGTACAGGATCGGGTAGTGCTCCTTGAGGCGGGAGAGGATGTAGTTTGCGTTGAGCAAGGTGATCTTGGTCGCGTGGGTGAGACCCTTGGCGCCCATCATGTTGATGTAGTTGAAGGTGATGGGCAGGATGCTGGCGCTACCCCAGGGGGCGGCACTGATCGGGGGCGAGGAGGATTCCGAGCGCTTAGACACCAGGTACTCGCTGCCGGGGTGGGAGGGGAGGTATGCGCGCAGGTGCTCGGCAACGCCGATAGGGCCAACGCCGGGGCCACCACCGCCGTGGGGGATACAGAAGGTCTTGTGCAGGTTCAGATGGCACACGTCGGCACCGATCTCGCCGGGGGAGCAGAGACCGATTTGCGCGTTCATATTGGCGCCGTCCATGTAGACCTGTCCGCCGTGCTGGTGCACAAGCTCGCAGGCCTGCTTGATACCGGGCTCATACACACCAAAGGTACTGGGATAGGTGATCATGACGGCGGCAAGCTCGTCCCTGTGCTTCTCGCATTTGGCTTTCAGGTCCTCGAGATCCAGGTTACCCGTCTTGGTATCGCACTTGATGGTGACGACCCGCATGCCGGCCATAGCGGCACTGGCAGGGTTGGTTCCGTGCGCCGACACGGGGATCAAGCAAATGTTGCGCTTGGAGCCTCCGTGGGCCTCCTGATACTTCTTGATCACACGCAGACCGGCGAATTCACCCTGAGCGCCAGAGTTGGGCTGAACGGTGACCTCGGCCATGCCCGTGATGTCCGCCAGCTGCTGTTCTAGATCGTCGATCATCTGGGTGTAACCCTTGGCGACGTCCGAAGGCATGAAGGGGTGCATCTGGGAGAACTCAGGCCACGAGATGGGGATCATCTCGGATGTGGCATTGAGCTTCATCGTGCACGAGCCGAGGGGAATCATGGAGTGGGCCAGCGACAGGTCCTTGGATTCCAGGTGGCGAATGTAGCGGAGCATTTCCGTCTCCGAGTGGTGAGTGTTGAACACGGGATGGGTCAGATAAGACGAGGTACGCTCCAAGCTAGCCGGGACGGGGGCCAGACCGAGATCCTCCAGGGTGACCTCACCCTTCTTGGCGTGAGAGGCAAATACCTGCAGGATGGACTTCACTTCCTCGCGTCCGACCGTTTCGTCCAACGAGATACCGATCTTGGTTGGGGCGACCTGACGGAGGAAGATGTGCTGCGCGCGAGCGGCGGCAACGAGGGCCTGCGCATCCTCGCTGCTGGGGAGCTCCACGGTGAGGGTATCGAAGACAACACCGCCATCGGCAGCGTTGGTTCTAATGGGGACGTTGAAGCCCAAGGCTGCAAGCTTGGTCTGCAGAGTCGTGGTCATGGACATGATGCGCTGCGCAATAGCCTTCAGACCGGTCGGGCCATGGTAGACGGCGTACATGGCACTCATGTTGGCCAGAAGGGCCTGAGCCGTACAAATGTTGCTAGTGGCCTTTTCACGACGGATGTGCTGCTCTCGTGTCTGCAGAGCCAGTCTCAAGGCACGGTTGCCCGACCGATCCTTCGACACACCGACCACACGTCCGGGAACCTTGCGCTTGTACTTGTCCACGCACGCGAAGAAGGCAGCGTGGGGACCACCGTAGCCCATCGGTACACCCAGTCGCTGGGCGCTACCAAAAGCAATATCGGCACCAAACTCGCCGGGCGCCTTCAGGACAGTCAAGGCCAAAAGGTCCGTGGCAACGCTAAAGGTACCACCAGAAGCGTGGATGGTATCACTCAGCGACTGGAAGTCGTAGAGACCACCCTCGGTGTCGGGATATTGGGCGAGCACACCGATAAGGTTGTCACCCTGCTCCTTCACCAGCTTGAAGTCGTCCGCCAGAATGTCGCCGACGACCAAGTTGATACCGAATCCTTCGGCACGAGACCGCATCACCTCCAGAGTCTGGGGGTGGCAGAGATGGGAAATGACGTACGTCTTGCCGGGCTTCTTCTGCTTAGCCATGGGAAGAGTGGCGAACGACATGGTCATGGCTTCGGCAGCAGCGGTAGCTTCGTCGAGAACGGAGGCGTTAGCAAATGGCAGACCCGTCAGATCGGCCGTCAAGGTCTGGAAGTTCAGAAGCGATTCCAAACGCCCCTGACTGATTTCGGGCTGGTAAGGCGTGTAGCTGGTGTACCAGGCCGGGTTCTCCAGGACATTGCGGAGGATGACGGGGGGTACGATGGTGGGATAATAACCCGTGCCCAAGTACGTTTTGCCCGACACGTCGATTTGTTTCCGGTACGTATCCAGCAGCTTCAACATGTCCGTCTCTCCCAGACCACCGTGCACATTGTCCCGAGCCAACTTGGCGGTGGTATGAGGAGCGCTAACGTCAAGGTCCTTCTTCGACAGAATGTCGGCGGGAAGGACCTGTTTCACGAACTCGTCGAGCGAAGCCACCGGAGGGTCCAGCGTTGCCAGCATCTCCTTAGCGGCGTCCGGCGAAGGGCCAATGTGCCGGCGGGGGAAGGTATCAAGGGGCTGGAAGACGTCGCGAGGATGAGGATCGCCATGGTCCGTCACCGAGCTGGTATAGACGGCTCTCCGGGCGGTTGCGGATTGTTCTGAGGTGGTGTGCAGGGCGCGGCGAGCGGAGAGGAAGGGCGAGGATCTGCGGAGAGCCACAGGAGGCAGGGAAGAATGCAATCGGGTGCGTAGAGCCAACTGGCGAGCGCCTCGAAGGGCGCACCAGGTCGCAGCCATGGTCAATTAAGGAGGAAGCGCCAATGGACCGCAGCGGTGCTCGTTTGGCCAGGCCAAAGGATACGCGGGAAAGAAGGGATGAGGATGGCAAGTATGGAGATAAGCACGAGTTCTCAACTACCACACCTTCAATTCATGGGAGGGAAGAAAGATGAGGGATCAGGGATGTAGTAGGAGAAAGGAAGAAGAGAGGAACAAGTGCTGATAAAAAAAAACTCCCCTCTTGAACCATGCGAATGGACGATCGGATTATCGTTTGGCGGGCAGGAAACCGCGGGCGATAAGCGTCGCTTGCGGGAAACTGCGATAACACACTCCTCCGGGCCAATCAAGAGGCTGCCGGGACCCGCTCGGCGCTACTCCCCGCGACCGATAAGCTCCCGTTTCCCGCGGAAAAGCCCGCGGCGTTGCATAGCTCGGTACAAGAGTATATAATATAGTTATCTTCATGACTCCTCTCCAGTCTACCGCGCCATCCCATTTGATCGGGTGGACCTGGCACGGATGAGAATACTCCCACGCCGTTTCCCACCGTGTGTCGACAGGAGGACTGCGGGGAGGGAAAGTCGGCGAAGTCTCTGGTGGCTCGACCTGGTCCGAGCTCGGCCTCTCCCTTTTTTTCTTTTCCCTTCGCTTTCCCTCTCTTCTTCAATCATCAACACCGATAACCCCCTTTATTATCTTCCCAAAGCGCCCATGCATAACCGCAGAACCCGGAATATTTCCCTCCAATAATCAGTCCTCGTATCACCCGTTGCTTATCTGCCCACACGCATCTTTCAGTTGACTAGCTTGTGTACCGTCGAAACTTTGTCCCAGCCTTGTACAACCTGTATGTCATCTTCGCAATGAAGAGTGTCATCGGCGACGTTCCAGGTCCTGCATGGTACTCCGGTAAATGAGGGGGAGCTATCAATTCTGAGCCAGAACCTCGTCCGTGCAGACTGCAGACTGCAGACTGCAGACTGATTGAAATGGAATCACCGCCATGGTACTCCGTACGCAGCGTTTCATGTTGATTCAAGAAAGACTGTGGAACGGAACAGACCAGACCAGACCAGGCCAGAGATCGTATGACTAGTGAGTAGTGACTGACTGCCCGTCCTGTTGATCTGTTCGGCGCAAATCGTCCATATTTCGAGTCAGGGGGACTATCGGATTCATTTCTTCGATATGATAAGTCTTAGGGCATAGTATGGAATCATCGAAAGCAGAGGTCCAGTCAGGTCCAGATGGAAGAAGTCCCAGCGCGAATGCGCAAGGTCACCACCGACTCAAGTCCCAAGTGGGGAAGTGATGCCTTACAGCTGAGGCCGGGAGGTTGCAGGAAGATTCGGTGGTCTGTGTGCCTCTCCTCTAGCGCGTCGAGTTTTTTTTCAATCTTTGGCTGGAAGCGTGGGTCATTCCGTCACCGTATCCATCAGCCCTTTCAACTATATTTTAGGCCCTTCACGGCATGGGTCTGTCCGCCACTCAGCGTGCGAGGATTCGGTTATCGCATTCGGAAACTTGGCAGGCTCACCAGCTTTTCAGGATGGTCTGGAGCTCCCTGCCTCAGCTTTAAAAAGTCCCGCAGGTTGGCAACCGCTCTCGCTTGCCCTGCTCTTTTCTCCTCCTTCCCTCCACCAACTAATTTTATTCCATTCCCTTATTTTGTATCTATGTCACATATTTCCTCCCAATGCTAGTTGTGAATCTATATCATGTCCCTCGTACAACATGTTTCTGCCATTGATGGTGTCGATCGCGAACCCGAGCCGGACGACGACACGACCGACACTACAGTCACGGCCAATTTGGACGGACTTGCTTCCATCCGCCGGAAGATTAGCTACGATGTGTTCCCTCCACCGGCACCGGAGATCGACGATAAGCACGCGACCGCGGCGTACAAGGTGTCGGACATAAGGCGGTTGGGTTAGTCTCCGGAATTGCGGTTTCCGCGCATGGGTGTCAGGAATGGAACACTGCTGATTTCCTCAGCCCAGGTCATTGTCACGGTCCTTGCTTGCTGGTTTGCCTCGGGCATTGTGTTTGGTTTTGCGGCGCTGAAGCCCGTCCTGGTCGGAGAGGGTGTCTATCGCAACCTGTGCACCGCCGAGGAACTGCAACGCGACGTGGAGCTTTGCTATAAACAAGATTTGAAGTGTGTTTTCTTGGATCGGATTTGATCTCCGGGGTGTGAGAATCTAACAATGATCAGGTTGAATCTGTTTTTCACGGTCGGATCGATCACGGCCAACATGTCGGCCCTTCCGGTCGGAACCATCTTGGACCGTTACGGCTCGCGCGTCTGTGGCTTTGCCGGCTGCTTCGCATTAACCATGGGTTGTCTCTTTATGGCGGCCTCCTTTTCGTGGCCGGCATTCGATGGCTATATAGTCGGGAATCTCTTTCTTGCTCTCGGCGGGACCTTTATTTTCGTCCCCTCATTTCAGATCGCCAACGCGTTTCCACGGTATGCCGGAACCATCGTCGCTCTGGTCACCGGTGCGTTCGATGCGTCCGCGGCGATTTACCTATTCTACCACCTCATTTACGAAGTCGATCGTCAGAAGTTCAACCCGAAAAGGTTCTTTCTGACCTACCTGGTCGTCCCCGCGATGATCTTCGTTTCGCTGCTCACCGTCATGCCGGCCCATGACTACCAGAGCCCCCGTTTGCTGAATTCCAAGATCGAGAAGGCAGAGGACGCAACGCGGGATGTACACGAGTCGGACGAGGATATCGATAGTGACTCCGAGCTTCGGCGCATTCGACAGGAGCGCGCAGACCGCCGACGCGACAAGATCAACCTGATCACCGAGGTGCTGGGTGACGAAGACGAGCGCAGACAGCGCGAGCAGGACGAGGAGGACCGTCACAACGTCAGCCACGTCTGGGGAGTGCTTCACGGCCAGCCGGCTCACAAGCAGATGGCCACGCCGTGGTTCATTCTGATCACGCTGATGACGGTCCTGCAGATGCTGCGGATGAATTATTTTATCGCCACCATTCGATCGCAGTATGAGTATATGCTGCATTCGGAGCTGCAGGCCGAGTGGATCAACCGCTTCTTTGATATCGCCCTACCTGTCGGCGGCGTCATCTCGACTCCGTTTATCGGACTGATCCTTGATCATTTCAGCGTTCCGGCTACACTTGCCACCATCGTCATCTGCACGACGGCGATTGGCGTTCTGAACTCCGTGCCAGCGCTATGGACTGGCTACGCGACCATTGCACTATTTGTGCTTCTCCGGCCGCTGTATTACTCGGCCATGTCGTAAGTAATTTTGTGTCTTGGTATGGCATCCTCTTGCTAACGTCTTCGCAGCGACTATACCACCAAAGTATTTGGATTCGCCACGTTCGGCCGCGTCTATGGCACGATCATCTGCCTATCCGGTCTGGTGAACTTCTCCCAGTACGGACTGGACTCGCTCACTCACGGGCCCCTCCAGGGGAACCCCATTCCCATTAATATTTTCTTTGCCTGCGCGGGCTTTGTGATCGGTATAGCGCTTGTGGGATACGTGTATATCGCCGGACGACGGCTGAGCGAGAAGGAGCAGGAAGAAGCGGAGGACGAGGAACGGGAGCGATTGATCCGGGAAGAAGACGAAGAGGAGGACGAAATGGATAACGAAGTCTAATATTTTTCACGATCATCCCCCCGCTGTCAATATCGATAGGAATAGATAGAGGGTCGCGGTAACTATTCTTACCGGGGGTATGGGATAACATAATGAGGTCATTGTCATGAATCATAAAAGTTATCCTACCAGAAAGAAGTAAATCAATCACATTGGGGCCTCGCGTAGAAAGCCCACCGTAGTAGCTCCGAGGCATATAGTTCGTTCTCATGATCTATGAGCCATGACCCATGGTTGGCTCGAAAACCTTCGCTCAGACAGCCAGATGGACTTTCTTTGTTTGCAGCGCGGGGAGAAAACCTACCGTTCGGCGTGTCCGTCTACTAGTTACCTGGTTGTATACTACCCATCTACTGAAGCCACCAGAACCACCAAGCCACATCACAGAAGCATACCTACCTACCTATCTACCAATCATGAAGCAATGCTACCTAGGTAATATAGACACGGACATACCCCGAAAAGCTCTACCCCAAAAAAAACCCCAGGATGCCGGAACGCCAGAACACCGGCGCCAAAGACGAGGGAGGAGAAAAAAAAATAAACGAAGAGAAGAGAAGAATAGAACTGTGCGAGCGAGACCCAACTGACGAGACGATGATGTCTTCTCCACATCCTTGATAATAGAGTACTATGTAATCTGCGCCAGACGAAGAAGGGAAACAGAGCCGTTATGGTACAGATCGGCTTGCAGAAGAGGGGGGAAGGAAATATGGAGGGACGGGAGGCGGGGGATGTGATAGACATGGATGGTCTGTCGATCTATTTGGGATTTCTGTGGGGGAGGGTTTTCCTTGTCGGTCTTTTTTTTTCTCTCTCTTCCCCTGTGTTTGAGTATCTGTGTTTATCATGGAGTCATAGTACAGTACCTACCTTATCTCGGTGGGAGGTTCTAGGTAAGGCGTATGTGCTGCAATTTGCATAAGCATAATTATACGGAGACAAAAGACATCGGAGAATACTAATCTCCCCACAAGCAATGACTCCTATCGGCGAAATATAGACAGAAATGAAATAGTCCGCCACCGTCTCGATACTCGTCTCCATCAAAAAGCTCCCACGAACCACTCAAAACCGGCCAAAGAAGTAGTCCACCTAATCTGAGGGGGATCGGCCCCCCACGCAAGAAAAGAGTACCGACTAGCCCGGGCTCGATACCCAAACTGCCCAGCGAGCAGAAAGAGCATCGGGCGTGTTATGCTCTCGAGAGAAGATCCCAAAGATAAAGAAAAATAAAGACCAAGAAAGCTAGTCGACCAAAAGCTAGGTACCGATCTCTCGGGACTTGGGAACCCCAGTAAGAAGACGAGACAGGGGGGACCATCCGAGGCTCCCTGGGAAGGAACAGTAGGGATTGAGAATATACCGAAGGGGACACGAACGGCCAAGGAATTCCAGAGTGAATACGCGCATTGGCACGGGAAAAGACGGGGCTGGGTGACTCCCTGTGCACGCATGTGCAACGGTGGCGAGTTGATCAGTTGATCAGGGCTGGAAAGGGACGGATTCTCGAGAGGTAGCGTAATATAGAGCTCATGGACATTCACTGACTCCGAGTTTCCAGTGACCACCTTCCGAGACGAGGAAACCTACACGACAGGCAATCACTGCGAGAAAGGCAGGATTCCACACACTCGTTCCGGCCGGAGGAAAAGCGAATGGACAACCATCGCCAAGCTGCCAAGGAGGATGTCTTGATGTCAGTTTCTTCCCCGCATCCTTCGCCTTCCCCACAGTAGACCGAGCTGGCCCCAAAATCCTGGGGAAGGAGGGCCCCCCGTGGTCCAGTGAATGACACCGGATTCTTTGTTACGCTCCCCAGGCCGAGGTACATTCCAGAATTCCAATCGGCTATTGCAACAGTCTGGCCTGGTCGGCACTTTCCGTGGTCTGAGAGCGAATCATTCACTCGGAGGGGTTACCTGGTTTGGTTTCGAGATGGGTTTCGTGGCATGCCCTAATGTGCCACCCTGGTACCGCATCCTGCTGTAGAATTACATATATCACGGACCCTGCACACTGCTGATTGTGTTCCTCTTCCACCGGCCTCTTTCTATCAATCCAGTACTTCTCTGCACACCCATTGCGTCGTTTCAACCCTCCCCAGCAATGTCGCGCTCAAATAGCGAGAAGGCGGTCCCCAGCATCGACAAGATCGAGGATGTGAACCAGTCGGCCCTGAACGATGTCGACTACGATGAGGAATATTCCTACGCCGAGCAGCGCAAGATCATCCATCGCATTGACCGTCGTCTGGTCACGATGACTGGTCTGGCATACTGCGTGTCGCTCATGGACAGAACCAATCTCAGTATGGCTGCGGTGGCCGGGTAGGTTTTGCACCGATGCTGGTTATAGGACCCAGATGCTAATCGGGGAGTAGCATGACCAAGGATCTGGAGCTTTATGTTGGCCAACGCTACGTGAGTCTCCCGGCCCCAATCAGACGGACTTGCAACTAATCTCGACCCTACAGTCCATCATCGTGCTCATCTTCTTCGTGCCCTATGTCATCTTCCAGCCCCCCATGACCGTGATCACTCGGAAGATTGGCCCGACATTCTTCCTCGGAGCTATCGTGGTCTCTTGGGGCGCGATCCTGGTGGTAGGTGTTCCTGTCGCGGTTCGTTGTGCCCGGTCTGACAACTTATCCTCAGGGAATGGGTTTCACAAAGAACTGGGAACATATGGTCGGGTGTCGCGTGCTACTCGGTCTTCTGGAAGCAGGTCCGTTTGATTTGTCTGGCGTGCTACCGAGCGCGGGCTCATGTCCCTAGGTTACTTTCCCGGCTGCGTGTATCTTCTCTCTAGTTGGTACACTCGCTGTAAGCTCCCTTGCAACACCCCCGCTCCCTGTCCTACATCTGCTGACGGTCCCAGTCGACGTGCAAAAGCGGTTCTCGGTCTTCTACCTCATCGGCTGCGTTGCATCCGCCTTTGCCGGTATTCTTGCGTTCGGCTTGATGCAGATGCAAGGGCTCCAGGGTCTTGAGGGCTGGCGGTGGATCTTTATCATGGAGGGAGTGGTATGTTTTCAACTGGTACGGTCAGAGTCTGAGTACTAAGTCGACCAGATCACCGGAATCATCGGTATCCTGACCCTGATCTTCCTGGTCGATTTCCCCGACAGGGCCCACAAATCCTGGCGCTTCCTCAGCGAGCAGGAGAGCTCGTTCATCGTGCGACGTATCAACCGGGATCGTTCCGATGCCGACGCAGAGCCGTTCGATCTCAAACGCTTCCTCACCCCCGCCCTAGACATGAAGATCTGGGGATTCGCCATGATTTTCTTGTAGGGACCCCCAACCCCCATCCAACTGCTCACCCCTAGATATAGCTCTCACTAACGCCAACCAATCCAGCTCCACCACCACCGTCACCTACGCCATCGCCTACTTCCTCCCCATCATCCTCCAACAAGGCATGGGCTACGACGTCGGCGCATCTCAATGCCTCGTCGCTCCGCCCTTCGCCCTAGCCGGACTAGTCATGTACGCCACCGCCTGGGTCGGCGATCGGTACCGCGTGCGCGGCGCCATCGTCGTCTTCAACGCGTGTCTCTGCATCATCGGCCTCCCCATCATGGGCTTCGCGAAGAGCAACGCGGCCCGCTACATCGGTGTGTTCTTCAGCGTCGCGGGCTCCAACTCCAACGTCCCCGCCGTGATGGCATACCAGGCGAACAACGTGCGTGGGCAGTGGACTCGCGCCTTGTCCAGTGCCACGCTGGTCGGATTCGGCGGCATCGGCGGCATCGTGAGTAGTTTGGTTTTTCGGACTCAGGACGCCCCGAATTATCGGCCGGGGATGTGGACGACTATTGCGTGAGTTCTTTCCCTTCCTTCTCCCGGGTATATATTTTAAGGAAGGGTAGGAGAAGGCTAATCAGATATAGGTGTAATCTGTTGATTATCGTGATTGTCGGTGTGATGAGCTTGTGGTTCCGTCATTCGAACAAGCAGGCTGATCAGGGTAAGAGGGTGATTGAGCAGGATCCTAGCTTCCGGTATACCTTGTAAGCTTGACGATGTGACGATGATGATGATGATGATGATGATGAATCGAACGTTGGAGGTTGAAATAACTACATGGATCTAGATGTGAGACCATTTAGATAATCAAATAGTTCATTCAAATCGAATTTACATACGAACTAAACCCTCTTATCATTTTATATCACCCAAGACTCTCGTCTATGTATCTATCTATCCAGCCTTCACATCTGCACGGGGGAAGAATGTTTCATCGGTCTACCTACAGTGAGCGGGCAACCAAGCATTCCACATACCTTGGGTTGGGGAACCCCTAACAAAATACCTCTCGCCAAGTCTAATAGAACCAATAGTACTTATGAGGAACCAGAAAGTAAAAATTTCATTTTGAGAAAAAAGCATAAACTTCATCACTTGGTCATTCTCATTTTAAAGCATCAAATACAAAGCCCCCCCCTTCCTTGCACAGAGAAAGCACACAAAACCTACAACCCCAACCAATACCGAGTCTTCTCGACATCGAAAGAGGACTTAAGCACGCCCTCACCCGTACCAGTGACCTGCACCTCATACGTGCCCTTCTCGGAAGCCCACTTCTCGCGCTGCTCGTCCCACCAGCTAGTAGCCAGTTTCTTCTCGACGACGATCTCCACCGTCTTCTTCTCGCCGGGCTGCAGCTCCACCTTGGTGAAGCCCTTCAGTTCACGGACCGGGCGGTTGACGCCCGTCGGGGGCGGCGCGACCCACAGCTGCACGATCTCCGCGCCCGCGACCTTGCCGGTGTTCGTGACGGTCACGGTGGCGGTGATGGGCTCGCCGCTGTCCGCGAGCTGGGCTTGCTCGGGGCTGGTCTTCAGGGCGAGGTCGGAGCGAGTGAAGCTGGTGTAGGAGAGACCGTGGCCGAAGGGGAAGAGCGGCGGCAGGTTGACCTTCTCGTAGTAGCGGTATCCGACGTAGACGTCTTCGCCGTAGAGCACGCGGCCGCGCTCCGAGCGGAAGTTGAGGAAGCTGGGATTGTCCTGGAGGCGAACGGGGAAGCTGAGCGGCAGCTTGGCGGACGGGTTCACGTCGCCGTACAGGACGTCGGCAAGACCGTTGCCGCCTTCGTTGCCGCCGAACCAGGCTTGCAGGAGCGCCTTGGTCTGCTTGGCCCAGGGCATGGTGACCGGCGTACCGCTCTGGATGACGATCACCGAGTTCTGGTTCGCTTCGAGCACCCGCGAGATCAACTCGTCGCTGCCCGGGGGCAGGTCCATGTGGTCGCGATCGTAACCTTCCGTCTCCCATTCGCTGGTTAGACCGGCGAACACGACCACCTGGTCCGCCTTGGAGGCGAGAGCGACGGCCTTGGAGATCAGCTCCTCCTGGCCGACTTGGCGGCTGGCGCCGAAGCGGAATCCGCCGGGGCCGAACGCCACGACGCCGCGGGTGTCGAGATCGGAGGTGGGGGCGCTGCCGAACTGGAGCAGGATCTTGTACGTCTGACCGGCCTTGAGCTCCTTGCTGCCGATCTTCTCCTCGGTGGCGTTGCCGAAGAAGGCAGAGCCCTGACGCTGGTTCTTGGTGTTGTCGACGACCACTTCGCCGTCAATCAGCAGCTTGCCGGTGCCCACAACGGTCACGCCGAAGTCGTAGACTCCGCTCTCCTCGGGGGTGAAGAGACCCTCCATGTCGACGTAGAAAGTCAAGGACTTGATCTTCGGGTTGATGTAATCCATGAGGAAGCCGCTGGAAGATACTAGGTGCAGCTCATCGACCAGCTCTCGCTTGGCCTCGGAGGGAGGCTCGTTGAACACGCGGAAAGCGAATCCGGTCTTGCCATCAGCCGTCTTCATGAGGGGGCCGAGCTCGGGAAGTTCCTTGTGCGAGTACACGCCCTGGGAGAACTGCACGTCGCCCTTGCTCTTGGCCGTGACGCCCTCGAACGGGGTCACGGTGTAGTACGCATCCAGAGAAGCAGAACCACCGCCGCAGTACGCGGCACGCTTGGCGTTTGGTCCGATGACCAGGATCGATTTGTCCTTCTTCAGGGGCAGGATGTTGTCGTCGTTCTTCATCAGGACGACCGATTCCGCGGCGGCGCGTCGCAGGAGCGCCTGGTCTTCGGGTCGGTTGAGAGCCTTCTCCGGTGCGTTCTCGGGGATGTTCAGGGGCTCGACGAAGTTGATCAAGTTCAAGACATTCCGGACTCTCTCATCCATGACGTACTCGAAGGCCTTGTTGGATGATACGGCATGAGCCAGAGCGGTTCCACGCCAGCGTGTCTTTCCGGGCATCTCCAAATCCAAACCGGCGTTGATGGCGTCCGAAGTACTGTAAGTTCCGAACCTGCCCATATTCTTTTAATATCCATCTTACCATCCAAGAAAAAACGACGAATTCAACTTACCAGTCACTCATGACGAGACCGTCCCAGCCCCACTCCTTGCGAAGAATGTCGGTGATAATCTGCTTGTTCTCGCTCACATGCGTGCCGTTGACCTTGTTGTACGCCGTCATGATACAGGCACTTTGACAGATTCTCAAAGCCAACTGGAAAGGCAGGAGATAGATCTCGCGCATCGCCCGCTGCGTGACGATGCTGTCAACAGCCAGACGCTCATGTTCCTGGTCATTACAAACGAAGTGCTTCAGGGTCGCCGCGACGCCCTTCTCCTGCATACCCTTGCAGTAGTAGCCGGCCAGATTACCGGAGAGCACACCGTCCTCAGCAAAGGACTCGAAGCCACGGCCTCCAAGCGGTGATCGCTGGGTGTTGATGGTGGGGCCGAGAACAATGTGGGATCCTTTGGCAATAGACTCCTCGCCCATCAATCGCCCCACTTCATGCAGCAATTCGATATCCCAGGTGGCGCCCAGCGCTGTGGAACAGGGGAAACAAGCTGCCGGGACACCGTTGAAGAATCGCGTTCCGCGCACTCCATTGGGGCCATCGGACATGCGCAGACTGGGGATGTTCAGACGAGGAACGGCCGCCGTATGCCAGAAATCAACACCTGTCGAGGGAAGGAAAATGCGCCATTAGAGGTCCGGAAATTCGACAATTTGTGAGATCAGGGGTAGGACTTTCTGGGATACTCACCAGCAACTAGAGCTACTTTCTCCCCCAGAGTAAGCTCCTCAATTGTCTTCTCCACATCTATCCGGGCCATTGTGAACACGGAACAAGAAACACAAGGACTCAGCTTCTCCGCTTATGAAGCGAACGATGTCCGAGATAAGAGAATCGATAAGACGATGACAAAGAGGGGGGAGGAAACCAGGGTGACACGTAAAAAAAAAGCAGCACGAAAAATGGAGGAGTCGAAGGATGAAGTGGGATGAATTGCACGTGTTGTGGAGAGGGAATGATAACAGAAAAGATCAATGTGGAGGGGGGGAAAGGCAATGTAGATATACGTCCAAGAGAGACGTGCAAAGAGGAAGGTCAGTCAATCAATCAATAGTTCGACCCTTTGAGGAAACATCGTCAATCCGATTGCGGATTTCTAATAAGGCCAACTGTACATCAGCGTTCTTCCCGGGCTCCCCGCTCCGTCGCACCAAGGAGCATCAGGTTGGATCCATGATCAATGGCAGGTGGATCGGAAGATGGATCGTCGGTCTAAACGTCCCGAAATTCTCCCAGGGTGGAGAATCAGAAAGAGCATCTGGTGATCTGACGGGTGAAACACGAAGGCGTGAGAGTCATGGCCTGTCGTCGAGTGTGAATCCGTCGCAGCCAAAGGATCTGGATCTAGATCCGAAACGCAGCAATTTCGCAAGACGGACTGGAAGACGGGAGATAAATCCCCAGCACTAACTAGCGCAGGCGGTTGGACTAAGCCTGAGGGGAATCAGCCAGGCCGGTTGACGGCGCGATTAAAGCGACACGGAGGAAATTCCGAGGATTAACCGACAGCTTGGCGATGCGGCGAGTGGGGGAACACGCGGAGTATCGGACCGGTGTGCCTTGTATTTCTATTTCTCGATGAATGCCGGATGGGTCTCATGCAGGTGGACCCATTGTTGAACGACGAACCCTGAACGATGAATGAAAGAAGGAGGAAAAGTGGACGGCGAGTTGAGTCAGTTGAAGCCGCTCAGGTCACATGGCTGGAGAGGACCTCGTGTACCTCGTGTACCTTGCTTACTTCGTGTCGATGTAGATTATAAATCTCTTCGTATAACTACTTGATCGAATCTCTACGTTGTATAACTCCTTCAACAGGTCATTATCAACCATTATTATGCATCAACAAGTTCTACAGCGTCATCTCAAATACATCCTAGGCTCTCAACCGGTGCTCCCGTCCCTCCCAAGAATCAATGAAGAAACAAAAAAGAAAATACTGATGGACTCCGCCAGAAAAGAAACGAGTCTAGATAGGTATTGTGAATGGGAAAAAAGAATTGCAAGAACACCGTCCAATAAATGCATAATATAGTAAGAGAAAAGGAAGAAAAACACAAGGAAAAAAAGGGCTGGGTCAAGTAGAGAGAATGACACACGAAGACAACATAACTCATTATACAAGCACAAGCTTCAAGAGGGGAAACAAATGGAGTATAGAAAAAAGAAAAAGAGAAGAGAAAAATCAAGCACCACGGCGGGGTCGTTTTGTTTCACCTCCTGTTCGCATGCCTCCCCGGCCACCTCCATCGCCGTGATTGCCTTCGTCACCGCCAGGCCGTCCACGCTTGCGATGAGGTCCTCCTCCCCCTCCGCTACCACCCTCGCGATGATAGTCACGGTCTCGCGGACGATCACGGCTGCTTCGATCACGTCCGCTCCATCGGCGGTCTTCTTCCGCATTTGGGCCAGAGGCTGGAGCGGTTTGTCCACCAAACGACGGAGGCCGAAGACGTCCTTCATGCTCCTGGCTGCCCTGGGCAGAGTCGGCGGCTCCATCATCCCGGTCTCGTCGACGTCGGTTATCCTCGCGCGAACCAGCACCTCGCCGTGCAACCTCTCGCGATTCGTATCGTTCTTCGCGAGAACCACCCGCTCCGGTAGTGTCACCTCGGCGACTGCGTTCGCGCTCGTAGTCCCGATTTCGGTCCCTGTATTCTTCCCGGCGACTACTACTGCGGGTTCCCTCTTCGTCACCTCCCCGGCGATCCCTTTCTCTTTCGCGGTCTCCTCGATCGTGGGAATGGCCGCCACTACCGCCAGTAGAATAGCGTGCAGATCGCCGAGATTCTGACCCTTCTTCGGTAGCCTCACCCCGTCGGCTGCGATGGGAGCTGTCGTCGTCGGCGTGCGTGGTAGAGGGTCGATTGGCTAAAAGATCGGGCTTGTTTTGGAACGAACCAGATCGTCCGCCATCGTCGGCTGCACCCACAGGAGTAAGTTGTCGGCTGGTCTGAGGCGATGCGTTTGCTTGTCGATTGGCGCCTCGGCCACGGATCGGGGGTCCGGAGCCTCCACGGTCCGGTGGGCCGCCAGACTGTTGCAGCATGTTGTTGATGCCGGCAAATCGTTTGTCGCCTCTTCCTCTCTCTCCACCGAATCCTGCCCCAGGAGCCGGTCCACGAGGAAGGGATGACGGCCCAGAGGGAGGTCCAAGTGCGCTACGAGGACCAGAGGGAGGGGCAACCGGCGGTTGGGATTGCGGGGGGCGCGGAGGCCCGCTGTAAGCACCACCACCACCACCACCACCACTGCCATCCTGCTGTTGGAAAGCTTTGAGTCGATCCGGGTGCATTCCGGTAGCCTCGAGCTTCTCGGCAGCGGCCGATGGCCCTCCCGTGGGGTTCGGGTCGGGGGCACCACGCATCCCTTGTCGACCGGGGCCGGTGGGCGGTTGACGTTCGGCTGGCGGACCACTTGAAGCAGGGGCATGGGGCATGTTTGACGCGTTTCGTCCACCACGACCAGGCGTATTCCTTCCCCGAGGTCCCAAGGGAATGTCTGCAGGCGCATCGGGTTGGCGAAGTCGTCCATGGTTGAGGTCAGGGCCGACACCAGGATCTCGTGAATCGGTGCCGTCCAAAGGAGCCCGTCCATGTCGGTCACTGCGCGGTCCGGTAGGCAATTCCTCGAGCCGGGACTGACCCGGGGGGTAGTTGAGTGATCGGCGGTCATCGGTGGGGAAACGCTCAGGGCGGTTGGGAAGTTCGACCCGTTGAGGCGATGTTCTGGCCGGCGGCAATGGTCGTCGGTCATCTCTTTCCGGCCGTGGCGGATCCCCGCGTCGATAGCCCTGATCACCATGTTCGTGTATCATATCAACACGATCAGGATGCGTAGGCGGACCAGATCGTGCATCGGAGGTACGTAGACGCCCTGAACGATCATGCCAGTCCCCGTCGAGGGGAGGACGGCCTTCTCGGTAGGGATGCGCACGGAACGGCTCCTCCATAGGCCCCCGAGGATACTCCCGCTCCAGACGACCATAATTTCTGCCGTCGCCCGGAGACTGATCGAATGAACGATTGTAGTCATGATCATTACCAAACCTACCACCCCGGAACTCCGCATTTCTATCGCGTCGGTCATCCAAGAGATCAGGACGTGGCGGCAACCTGGTCTCCTCTCTGTAGGGGCGAGACGGCGTATGTGTTTGTGAACGCACGGCCTGGTTGGTGGAGGATATGCGATCCACATCAGGACGTTTGGGGATGCTCGCGGGTCTGTTGTGATCAAGGCCTCTGGAAGTTCCCCGAGAATCAGCTGACGGAGCACGCGGGCGTGACGCGGGTCCTGTATCGCTACGATTATCCGTTGTCAAACTCGAGGCAGCAGATTTCTCTGCGGTGGTAGCACCTTCCTGGATCGCTGACGTTTGTCCTTCGCCACTCGACGGGGCTGCTGCAGTGGAGTCAGCCTGACTTGGGGTAGTACCGGTCTGTTCCGTCTGTTTCAGTGTCGAGTCATCTGCCTTCTGAGTGTCCCTCGACGCTGCAGCATCGGTCATCTTCGCATCCTCAATCTCGCCATCTTCTACTTCAGCAGCGGTGGGTGCTTCGGTTTGGGATCTATAAATGGAAAAACGCAATCAGATACTGAGATCGACGTGGCCAGGTGAGTTGCTGAGTTATGCGCTGGTGTGACTTACTCGTTGGTCGGGGGTTTAAATTCGACCGCCGAAGCGTTCAATGTAGGAGTTGTGGACTGTGGTCGTGACGTCCCGGGCCTGCCGTCGGTCTTTGGCACATTACCCTTTGCCTGGGGTGCCGATGACATATGGAAGGCTTGCGGAAGCATCCACTTCTTCTCGCGACGGTTGAGATCACCGATCAAGGAAGCAGCCGGAATCTTCACGTCGTCTCGGTCATCGGTTTGACTAAGGTTCGTCACGATGTTCAGCATGTCACGGCCAATCCAATTCACGGCCGGGAAGTGTTGCACAATCGCCTTGAGCACACTGATACCATTGCGAATGTGCATATACTCGCCGCCATTGAAACAAGCCTTGAAGGTCATGGCCAGGTAGCGGTGCCACTTGTACATAAGTCGACGGAAATCTTCATAATCCAGAAAGTCGGTGATTGTACCCTCGGAATTAACTTGCTTAGCGAATCCGGGAAGATCCTTCTTGGTTCCGAAGGCCTCCTTCTCATACACAGATCGGTCAGCATGCCATCGGCTAAGGTCACGTAGAACTTCGTTGAGGAAACGACCAAGGTTGTCGGCTTCCCTTGAAGTACACAAGAAAATCAGAGTATTCAGCCTCGGTTCACTGAAAAGCTGGTCCAAGATGCCCATTGTGCGGAAGTTAGGAGTCCCAGAAGAATGAAGGAACTTCAACACCTTGAAGCTGTAGAATGCATCGAGCGAGGAGATAAGCATGCGCGGCAAGAAGCACTGCTCGAGAAGAGACACGTGCAGGGCGTTGTATGCCTCCTTCGCTCCCATCTGCTGGATCAACTTTTTTAGGTGCGCAAACCAAAGGTCTTTCTCCTTCTGCAATTTTGCCCTTGTCCGGCCGTATGACTTCAGGTGACCCTTGTTCTCCTCCAGTATCTGCTCTTGGAGTTGGGTATGTGTTTTCTTGGCGGCCTCCTTCTTTAGGGTGCCGCTGACGCTGATGTCCGTGCGGTCGCTGCTTATCAAGATGACTTTCTTTTTCTGTCGTTCGATCTCGTCCTCATATGCTTTCTGCGGGATGTGCACATCGTACAGAGACAGTTGCCAGAACGTCGTGTAGAAGGAAAGGCCAATGGTTTCCCAGGCCTCAGAAGGCAGAGCCGACTTAACCTGATCCTGAAGGTCCTGCATGACGGGGTTCAGTGGGGGAGGTTCAGCGACCACCGGGCCCTGTTCAACCGGAACAACCGTGTCGTCATTGTCCGTCTTTTCCACCTCTTCCTTATCAACCTCCATTGAATTCTCGCTCAATTGAGCGGGCTCCGCTTCTCCTTCATCGGCAGTATCCATCTTATCGGTCTCGCCCTTGGAAGGAGACTTCTCTTGACTGCTCTCCTTGGGGATGTCCATGTCATCATCCTGCGTAAGCTTCTCGGTGTCCGCTATCTTGCGAGCGATGCTTGGTCGGCGAATCCAGAAGGCGATTTCGGGCTGCACGCCGTAGTCACTGATGAGAGAGGCGAGGTCGGGTACGAAGGAATCAAACTCCTCGACTGTCAGGTTACTTCGAAGAAGGTCCAGATATTGGGTAAAAACACGATGGATTTCATCAAAAATGTTGCCCAACAACTTCAGCTCCGCGTCGCCTTCGGTCTCCCGGAAGACGCACGTCCAGCGCTCCTGCGCGATTGCAATAAGCAGCTGGCCGGCAAGTTTGGAAACGGTAAGAGATTTGATCAGACGCCTTGCGGTGAGATGGGAATCGTGGCGCGTATCCAACAACAGCTGAATGGTCAGGCTCTGGAGGATTTCACCACCCGCCATGGCCTGAATCTGTGCATCGTTAAAGCTGGTGTCCGAAACAATACCTGCCATGGAGACGATCAATTGCTCCAACACGATCAAGTCGGTGGAGTTGTTGTGTCGAAGTTGCTCCACAACGTATTGTAACAAGGGGGTGGGATCCATCATCGAATAACGTCTGAATATTTTCCCCGCAAAATTGGCCAGAGCATTGAGCCATCGGCTTGTTGACAATCCACTCTCTTGCAGTCGGTTCCGTCCTTTGGAGCCAAGGGAGCTAATTAGAGCCCATGACAAGACATCATATCCGAGATTGGTAAAGTAACGCGCGCACTCCACGACGACGACGATCAGGTTCTCATAAGATTCGATCTGGCTGATAGCAGTGTGGATGACTATTGCAGGATTGGCACATGCAATCTTGGCCAGGGCACGAGCCATGGACCGAATATTCGTCTTGCTGAGCCTCTTCAAGACATCTTTGGTTTCTGCTTTTGCCTGATCAACGGCTGCCTTGATGTCTGGTAGCCGAGATGTTTGGCCCGAATACCACTCCGCATACATATTGTACCGCGTATCCCTAGGGAAGAAACTGATAAGATCGAAGACCTCGTTGACCACGCCGGGGTTGGCTTTCGTCAAACTGATCGCGGGAAGCAAGAGGCGCTTGCACAAATCTCGCCAGCGAGATGCGTTTTCTGCCGAATCGTCCTGAGTCATGCTGTGTTTGCCAATCCGGGCCAGCTTCGTGAGCAAGGTCGGGTCATGTCCAACCTTGTGTCCGGACAAATTGAGGAAGGATGAGCATAGCGCAAAAACGTCGTCGACCGAATGGCAGATAGGGATATTGTCTGCCCAATCATCCCAATAAAATCGGTAGTCCGTTCCGTCGTTCGTATCTTCTTTATCCAGCTGGGCCCATCGCAGTACCCGTCTCGGAGGGGCCTGAATCAATCGAATGTGGCCTTTCGCGCCTCCACCTTGTTCTTGACCTGGTATTTGCTTAGGTTCCCTGGTCTCATCTGGGAGCGGCGACGGGCACGAAGCGGTGTAGACCTTGCTCAAGCATTGGTGAAGGATTCGGTGGATGTATTCGGGTAGTTCGGGGTAAACATCCATAAGCCAGGGGAATTTGCTGAGAATGAAAAGTGACTCGGGTAGCGCTCCAATGGTGAGTAAGCTCTTCAGAAGCAGCACCTTCTGATCGGATGGCTCCGGAAGATCATTTTCTTCTCCCTTAGCAGCGGATTTGTCGGCATCTTGGTCCTTGCCGGGGGTCCCTGCTGGTGTCTCGGATTCTCGCAAACGCGGAGTCGATAGCGTGTCGTCCGAAAGTGCACCGGCCATCATCAGAGCATTAACACCGCCGCCCGGTCTTGCTGCTCTTTCGCGGTCCGCCTTCTCTTTTAGCTTTTCTTCTTTTAGGACGTCCATGGAGTCATCGGGTCTCCACAGGTGGGGGTACAAGTCGCGCAACGAGATGAAGCCAACCTTGATCAACAATGCTGCCAGATAGATGAGATTGTCGGGGAGAACGTCCACCTTAGAGCGCGCCCTGGACGAGTAAAAGCGGAGTTTGAATCCGAGCAACTGGGCCGCGACCCGGCTTCCTTGAGGCGGCGATGTTCCCGTCACCTCGATCCATTTGCGCGTATCAATTTCCTCCTCTGAAAGACTGTTTGATTCCGGAAGTATTTTTCGGAGTTCCTCTTCGGAGACTGGTCGGCGGCCGATTTCGAAGAAAGCGCGAATTCCGATCTCTCTCACTCTCGCCCAGAACGCCTGGTCCCGCTGTTCATTGAGCTGAACTGCCTCTGCCCGTTCCTCTTCCGTCGTTGCCCATCCTGAGGAGCCCGGTAAGGCCCAGTTCGGGAGCCCCGAGTCACGGTTGGCTTCACTAGTACCAAAGGCATTATCCTTGGGCCACCATGAACTGGCCCGGAGCAGCTTGACGAAAAAGCGGTACTGCTTCACAAGTACAGCCGCAAATACATCTAGAGTCACATCAAGGACACGTCCCACATCCATATCGAACGCGCCGACCATGGCCTTGACTCTTTCAAAAGTATCCTCCACGACCTCACTAGATGGAGGCTCATTATTGCTGGTCGTGAAAAGTTCTGTAAGGAGTTTCGAATACCCCTCCGATTCTTCGCGCAGGAGATTGTAATTAGACTGTCGGTAGAGGAGGTTGGTCTGTTTACGGATACCCATGCGGGTAAACGTTTCGCGAACGAGACCGAGAGTCTGGAGAAGGGGGGTGTCGAGCTGGAGACGCATAAGAGCGGCGCTGATGCCGGTAGAGAAGACCAATGGCTTCAGAGCAGGGTTCGATGTATCGGAATCCGTCATGATGGATAGAGTGTCCAGAAAGAGGGAGGGGGGGTCGAAAATCGCCTCTATTTGATCATCCCCCTCCATGTTGGCCTCTTCTTCAGCAGCGGCATCCTTCTCGACGATATCCCGGACAGCTGCACCGGCTTCTGTTGGTGTCACGCGTCCGTAGAAAGCACTTCTAATAAGCTCCTGGTAGATCAAAGCCAGCTTCGGGATATCCTGCTCTTTCCTCGCTTGTACTCCATCGTCCACAAACTTCCGCTCGCCAGTCGAAACCCAATGCTCGATGTTGGAGTCGGTGACATATTCAAAAACGTACGGCTGCGGCGGCGGCGTGGGAGGGTGGTGGATAGGGGTGATGGGAGACACGAGAGATTGCGAGGGGACCGGCGTTGGCATCTGAGACTGAGATTGGGACGGAGTGGGCGCAGGGGAGGGGGGCTGCGTCGACTGATTGACCGCCGGCGACACACCGTTGGTCTGGTTTTGTTCCGCGGCATTGCTCGCCGGGGTAATAGTAGTAGTGGGAGGGGACATGGCGGCGTCCCTGCGACCGCCAACGGGATTTTGGCTATCGCCGCTGGCTCTGCGACCAGGATTATTCCTGCCTCCTCGGCTGGATTGCCTTCGCCCCCTTCCGCGGGTATCTGAATGATCGCGAGACTGCGAGTGTTGCGAGCCGTGATTATGTTGCGCCATAGTTAGATTTCCTGGACGATGAGGAGAAGGTCGCTGGCTATCGTTGGACGAGTCGCCGGACCACGATCTATCACCTCGTTTCCTCTTTCCACTGACACCCGGAGCCATTACAAGATTGGCTACAGCTTCGAGGTTCAAGCAGAACAGAGAACGGTCTCCGACAGAATGCGATTCATGAGGCGGGCCTGAAGATTTGGGGAGTCGAGGTTAGCCTGCCCTCCGAATTTATTTGATGCGCAATGTGCCAATCGGAGGGAAATATGTGGATGATTCACAGGGGAGAAAAGAGAGAAACTGACCTTCTGTGAAAACTTCATGCAGTTTGGGGGGGATAAAGAAAGGAACTGCACGTGGAGTGGCAGGTTCACTGTTTGAACAAAGGATAAAGCCAATGATGATATTGAAGACTCCGGGCGCGCGTCTCGCGCTTATTTCGTCTGTCGGTTCCGTCAGTGGCGCTAACTGTTTTGGGGTCGGCTTCACACCTTCCTATTCAGGAATCAACAATTGTCCATGCCTGCCCCTCCATTCATAATCTGACTTTTAATGCTCGTATTCACCTTTCAGGACAGCTGAGATTGTTCTAGTTGATTGCCAACAGCATAGCTGTGTATATTAACAATCTATTGTCTTTCAGTCCAAACCCAGCCACCAAAATACATAACTGACCCCTCATTCACCAAAAACATTTTTCAATCACGCTGAATAACATGAAACTCTATCAAGTATTTTCGGGGCATGAATAAGCCATTGTCAATAACGCTTCACTTGAAAATACTTCTGTCAATGCAGATGGTCTCAGTTCTTCTCAATACAAGACAATAACAATACCCCTGTCGATTTCAGCCCCTCTTATAGTTTGACAACTCACTCCTACTTGCACTGCACCGCATGTTGACTTTATCATGCATGTAACCAAGATTCCCCCCTCCCTGTATTCACCTGAGAGCAAGTCTTACCGTGGAGTCAGTTTATCTTGTATAGTCTTCAGGTTACTAAAAGTCCTTACCATGAGTTTCTTTGTAGAGTGATCAGTTTCATTATCATTGAAGCAAGTATGATTTCAAAATTGATCTCAATTTGTTTACAGGATGTTTCATAAAATATCATTAATTACAACGAACAAACCCAGTCCGTTCAAAGTCCCAAGTCCTTCGCCTCGATATCGACAATCTCAGGGATCAGTTCCTTCAAGCTGGGCCTGCTCGGGGACCAGCCCAGCAGTTTGCGCGCACGAAGAGAGTGACCTCTTGAGCTACTTCCCCAAGCGTACAGACCGAACTGGTTCAGCGCGGTGACCTCTGCGTCCGGAAGAGCCTCGACCTCGGGGGAGGGGATCAGCTTCTTCTCGTACGCCACGCGCGCCACTTCGCGCTGGATGTCACCCCAGACGAACGGGCCGTTCTCCGCCAGATAGTATCCCTTGTCGTTCCAGGTGGCCTTGCCGCCACCAGCGGCGGCCGCGTCACCGAGAAGTCGATACAAGTCGCTGAGGTCCTGCACGTGGATTTGGTGCCAGATGTTCTCGCCCTTGCCGACGAGGAGACCCTTCTTGCGCTTCAGCACGGCGGCGGCTAGCCAGTAGGCCTGAACACTCTTTTGGTTGCCGGGACCGCGGCCAGGGCCGTAGATGGTGGGAGGGCAGACGATGGCCACCTTGACGCTGTCAGGGTTGTTCTTGCCGGCGTCGTTGATGATCTTGTCAACGTTGCGGTGGAGCGAGTCTTCGGGGAGGTTGAGCAGCTCGTCGACGCCATCCCAGTCGTCGTGCTCCTTGGCGCGGTACAGACCCCAGGTGTTGGTGCGGAAGTCCTCGACCGTTAGGATACCAGTGCCTGAGGTGTGGATGATCCACAGGGGGCGCTCGGGGGTGTGTTGGGTGGCACCCTTGGCGATAGCTTCGGCCGAGGCGATGTGATCACAGTCGGCGCAGTCTGTAGGAGAGCGATTAGCTTGTGTGTATGCGTAGAGTGGGGGTGGTGGTGAGGAGAAACGTACGGAGAACGATATCAGCGTTCTTGGTTTCCTCGGCGATGAGGTCGGACGAGTCGAGGCCACCAATGACGATGCGAGCTTTAGGATATTTGCTGGACACCTGAGCACCCTTCTCCTTGCTCCGAGTGAGGACGGCGTATTCCCAGTCGGGGTGCGCCTGGGCGAAGTTGAAGAAAACATCACCACCGATGTAGCCAGTAGCTCCGGTGCTTTGGAGAAAAATTGTTAGCCTCAAATCGGAACATGGTAGATCTTGGCGTAGGGACTATAGGACTTACACGAAGACCTTGAGGGGTGCCATTTTCGTGGTATGGGAGAGAGAAGAGTGGGAGATAATTTGAGGAGAGTTCAGATAACCAGGCCTGGATACAGATGTGGGAGTACAAAGAACAAAGGACTTATTATTAGACGGGGGAATAGCATGAAATATATAGCCAGAAATACATCACCAGCACGGCCACCACCATTGCAACCAAGCAACAGCTTTGAAATCAAAAGTGGCCGAGGATGGGTCCTTAACGAGCAAGAGTGGGGGTGGGGTGGGCTGGTCAATGGTGGACAGGGACGCTGGTGATGCACAGCTGGCACCATTCACGGACTGCATGAGGAGCTCCCGGAACTCTATCGCGCGGGGAATATCTGATTTGCATGTTGCAATCAGATACTTCGGATGGAGGAGAGGAGGAAATCAATTGACTTGATTGACTTGCAGTGCTGCAACGAGAAGTGTCGGAGGGTTGTCCCTCCGAATGACGTAATTGTTTACTGCCCTGCATTGTTTTTGTTTGTCAGCCTTGACAATCAGGTGTCTACAAGTTTCCATCGAGCACCAAAACATGCAACCAGCATTGGAAATCAGCAATTGACACAGTTGTAGATGTCTACCCCTAGCTACTCAACAAGCCCCTCCTTCCTCGCATCCTCTAACGCTGCCTCTCTCTTCTTCACAGCCTCCTGGTTAACTTGCTCCGAGAACGGTCCAACCCAGGTATACTCCCCATCAGCATCCTTCCCCTTCTCCTCATCCACCCATTCATCAAACCCCATATTCGCGAGGTCCAGATTCGTAAACATACCCCAAGACTCAACCCACGGCAATCTAGCCATCAAGAATGGCGACCGGTTTCTCTCGTCGTCCTCTTCTTCCTCTCCATCCTCGTCGTCTAAATCGTTAAACGAACACACCAAGCACGTCTCCGTCCGGAATCCCCGCTCATCGATGATTAGCCAGTTATCGGTGGTGAGGACATTATCTGACAGCTTTTCCTCGTTCGCCCGGATGAAAGCGTAGATCTCGTCGGAGGTCTTGCCCGCGAAGGCATTGTTGCTGGCGTCGAGGGTTTCGGCGCCGTCGAGGTCTAGAGGGGGAGTGTTGGGCTCTGAGAGGTCATAATCCTCGTCGTCAAGATGAGACGGGTTGTGGAGGAGGGTCCAGGAGTGGTCGCAGCCGTATTCGTAGTCTTCGAGGGAAAGGAGGGCTTTGTGTACTTGCTGGGGGAGTGTTAGTCTGTTGCGATAGAGTGTTATGGGCGGAGTGCATACTTTGACTGATACGGCGGGGGCCGTGATGAATGTTGTCCAGGCCATTGTGGCAATTGGTTATTTTTAGGGGTTTTATCTGAGTATATGGAGTATTGAGACTAAAGTTTGAAAGATATATTCAGCTAGACAGCTAGGAAGTTGGTCCGAATTTATAGTTGAATCTTGGGGCAAACCAACAGTTCGGTGGGTCAGGTCGCCAGGCATTTACACGATGATCTACAACAGGAGCCTTGCAGCCTTGAGTTGCCCGATGGCTGAGCATCGGGATAATAAACTATGGACATAGTAAATGGGGCTCAATCCTTCATGAATTAGACTAATGACGGCTAATCAAAAATCTTGTTTCACTAAACAAGTGCCCGTTAAATTCGCCTGCATGTTGGGTATGCCACTATAGTAGTACTATCCAGTAGTTATGCTTAAAAGCTAACACAACCAGCCCTGGAGCTGGAACATAACCTCATAGAAATCCCTGTATAAGACGTAAAATTCTGGGCACCATGAGGTGAATATCGCGGCGACCAAACATAAAGAAACAGGTCTTATGATTTTTTCCAATCCGGAATGATCGTTGTGGGTTGACAGATGTAGGTAGAAAGAAAGATACATACATTGTACAGTATGAATTGTCATACCTCAAACGCTAAAACCACTAAAAACCTAAAATCAGAACCCCAGAGCTATCCATCCTTACATAATTACATCCCCAAGTCCTCCATACCCCGGCGTCAGAAAACCAATATTGGAGACGATGAGACCATCTCCCTCCTCAATTGCCTGCTCAGCGGGGCAGAGAGATGGGAGGGGCATTTTGATGGCGTGAGGGAGATTATTGAGGGGATTGTTGGGGAGAAAGATGGTTCTAGTTGAGTGAGGAGGTATGGTTGATAGTCATATTTAGATAGAGGGATAATGGGGTTTGGCGCGAATAAGAGGACTCGAACAATAATACAATCAATCCAATACTAGTTCACTTGGAGCTAAAACTAGCAGGGAAAAAATGTCACGTCGAAAATAAAAAACAGTTTGATCAACGGCAAAAAGAAGAAATCCACTACCCTTGCAACTTAGTCTCGCTGGAAAGGCAATCGGATAAGAAAAATCAGTCGTAGGGGAATCACAGAATCATGTATGCCCATAATTTACAGGATCGCGCTCAAAAGGTACTGGTCGCTAGTCGACTTGCCGCATTGCGCGCATCAAGCCGGTCGTTGTCGTCTTCCTCGACGATTGAGCTGACGCCACTGGCCGAGCGTAGTCTGCCTTTACCCTGGCCGTTGACCTCTTCGTCGTCATCCGGGGTAGGCGAGACCATGCTGCCGCTCAAGCTGCGTCCGAGACTGTCGTTGCGACGCGGAACACCACTCCACGCGTCGCCCTTGGGACCTTGGCTCGAACCTAGGTTCGGTCGTCGCTGGGCGGGATGAGCCTCGCGGCCCAGACGGCTCAGTCCGCCGGATGAGTCGATGGCCCGGATGTCCGGTCGAACGCTCTCCATGGTCGCAAGGGTTCTGCGCTCGGACTCGATCTGGCGCAGCGTGTATTCCCGCAAGCTGGTAAGAAGGTCTCCGGAGGTGCGCTCAAACCAGCGGCGCTTCTCCGCCAGCAAGTTGGCCGTCACGCGCTGCGTTTTCTTGGTCAGGTAGTTCTCGTTGTTCTCGGCCTCCTCCAGCGCGTTGATCGCCTCGTCCACCTTGTCCGGCCGAACGGAGGAGCTGACTTTCAGTCGGTCGGCAGCCGCGCGCTTGCTGCGCGTAGCTTGCTGGGCCTGGAGCAGATCGCGAAGGAGAATATGGCGGTTGGTAAGGGTTTCTTTCACGATAAAAGCGTCGGATGAGTGGTAGCCCAGGGGTTCCCCGAGCGTGGTCGCCTCCGCAGTGGCTTGGACTGCGTGATAGTCGCCGACCGTCTGGATGACTTTGCCCAGCTTGCGGTAAGCATTGGCAAGGCCGGGGTGTGTTTCCTGCACGTGCATCTGTCCTAGCTTGACGCCAAAGTCCGATTCCGCAAGACCAAGCCCTAGATGATTATCAGCATCTCCGCAATGAGAACTCGCAGAATTCCTCGAACATACCTCGGCGGCCCTTAACAACCCGATCGACCTTGTGGCTTGTATCCATACTGCCCAGGTAGAACAGTTTCACCGTTGGCCGGGCATTTTGCAGCTCGGGCGTGTCGTCGGGCGGCGGAGCGAACTGCTTCAGGACCTTCCTCCGCATTCCCGTTGCCGGCTGCTTCATCCGGACAACGGGGCTGTATCCGAAGTCACTCTCGACAAATAGAATCACTTCGTCATCGTGAATGAGGACATCGTTGCCCATCACGACATTCAACCATCGCTGCATCGAAGATTTCACACGGATCTCATCCTCTTCGGTCCCGGCACCGGCGGGGGTCAATGGCGGGGGGACGGCAGGGACAAAGGTTTCGGGATTCGCCGACATCAAATGCTCCGCAAGCTTGATAAATTCGTTATGGGTGCGGCGGACGTCGCGGTATTGTGTGGTTCGAAATTTGGGAACATTGGTCTAAAGGTGGGTTACCGGTTAGATGGGCGACTTTCACAGCGCGAACTGACGAACTTACGTGGACATCAAACCGAAGAATAGGATCCTTTTTGCCAATTCTCTCCAACGCGGTTATCTTGGCTTGAATTCTGTACACAGGAGCGGGTGGTTGCTGCTGCTGCTGCTGCTGTTGTTGCCAGGCGTGCTGCCTAGCCCCCGTCTGATAGCGAGCGGGCAACTGAGACGGATGTTGACCGTACTGCTGTCCCGATTGATGGGTCACATTGGCCGGATCATTTAGCTGAGTGTTTTGTAGTCGCCCCGACAGATCCGGAGAGTCGGTTTCCCCCTCTGCCGTGTGTTGGTCGGTCCGAGAGCCATCGCCGGGCTGCGTATCCCTTTCCGCATCGTATGCGGATTGGTGTGGGGGCAAGGGGGACGGAGGGATGTCGCACGTCGAGGAGGGGGGATAAGTGGACTCGTTTGTTCGAGGGGAGGCCCAAGGGGAGGTACCCGTTGCCGGGTCTTGCGATATGGAGGAGTAGTCCATGGTCTGTCAGGGTGTCTGTTGGTGTGGGGGGGAGAGAGAGATCAATCGGCTCCGCTAGAGAGAGTCGTCAGCATTGTTAGGATAGAGAATAGGAGAGTGGGGAGAGAAGAACGTACTTGTGATCCCTCCAAATAGAAATCGGAACCAGCAGGGATGGCAAAAGCAGCGGGCAGACACAGAGACTGACAGAGAGGACGGAGAGAGAACGAAAGGGACCGAGAGAAGGACGGAGAGAGTTGTGGCCGCAGAAGGTTACGTCGTTGGTGCCATCAGCGCCTGATTGGTCAGGCACACCTCCGCATTGGCAGCTCTGACTTTCCGTCGGGTCTTCTCTTTCTGCTCTTTCTTTTACTTCCGTGCCCACGTCGCTCTGCTCGCAGCTCCCTTATCGCATTGAATTGCGAAATAGACATGCACTAAGTATCATCACATTTCATAATTCCTACTCGGACGGGCAATTGCTGTCATGGTCGCAGCGCTATTCTTGCGCGCCTCTCACCCGGTGCGGCCCACAGGCCGACCTGTCAGTCGCCTGGGATGCAACGCATCTCTGCTTCAGAGTCCGTCGCGACTCAATCTTTCTAAATTTAATGGATTCTCGACATCTCTGGCCAAGAGCAATGTTGACTCGCTCGACCGCACCAGGAATATCGGCATCATCGCCCATATCGATGCAGGCAAGACCACCACCACAGAGCGTATGCTGTATTACAGTGGATTCACGAGACGGCTAGGAGACGTGGATGAGGGATCGACAGTGACGGACTTTTTGCCAGCTGAGCGAGCGCGAGGCATCACTATCCAGTCGGCAGCCATTACTTTCCACTGGCCGCCGCAAGGTGCCGGAGGGGAGAATGCAGCTGCGCAACCAGCACCGGGAACTCCTCGGTCTGCGTACCCGCATACGGTCAATCTGATCGATACGCCTGGCCATGCAGATTTTACGTTTGAGGTCATGAGATCGCTGCGCATTCTCGACGGTGCTGTATGTATTCTGGACGGCGTGGCGGGCGTGGAGGCCCAAACGGAGAAAGTGTGGCACCAAGCCAGCTCCTATCGGATCCCGAGAGTGGTTTACGTCAACAAGCTGGACCGAGACGGCGCCGCCTTTGGGAGAACAGTCCGTGAGGTTGCCTCGCGACTGGAGGGCTGGCCCGCGGTCTGTCAGATCCCGTGGTTCGAGGGCGGACAGGGCCGCTTTATTGGCGTGGCAGATGCGATCAACCTGCAAGGGCTGCGATGGGACGACGGCGACGGGAAGTCGGTCAAAATGTACAGCCTGGAGCAATTGGACAGCGAGGAGAATCAGCTGGCACAGGAGCTGCGACGCGCGAGAACGGCTCTCATCGAGCTGCTGAGTGAACATGACGAAATAATGGTCGAGAAGTTTTTCGAATGCGAGGACCATCTGGCAGTGCCGGCCCACGATATCTTGGAGAGTTTGCGTCGGTGTCTTCTGCGGGAAGAAGGGCGGAAGATCATCCCCGTCTTCGCCGGCGCCAGTTTCCGCAACATCGGAGTACAGCCGCTGCTCGACGTCGTAACAAACCTCCTCCCCAGTCCCCTGGAAACCCCAGATCCGGAAGTCAGCATTGGCGGCGTCAAAGGTGGTCTTCGTCGTCTGCTTTCGGGTGACCTGCTCGTGGAACAGAGCCAAAAAACCGCCACAAAAGGCAAAACCAAGAAGAAGCCCGCCGTGCAAGCGGATTCCCGCACTGCTATCGAAAACCTGCAGAGCTGCGCGCTGGCATTTAAGGTGGTCAACGACCCCAAGAGAGGAGTGCTGGTGTATGTACGAGTCTACTCGGGGTCGCTAGACCGGAACAGCACTCTGTTCAACACCAATCTTGGCGTCTCCGAACGAGCGCCCCGTCTGCTCAAAATGTACGCCAACGATGCCGTGGAGGTTGACTCGATCCCCGAAGGCCACATCGGAGTCGTCGTCGGTCTCAAACACACCCGAACCGGAGATACGCTTGTCACATATGCTGGCAGCAAAGCGCAGCCGCCCGAGCCCCTCGATACGCTCCAACTCCGTCCGATCAACGTGCCGCCGCCGGTCTTCTTTGCCAGCGTCGAACCCCACAGTCTGGGCGAGGAAAAGCGTATGCAGGAATCGCTGGCCATGCTCCTCCGAGAAGACCCCAGTTTACACGTCACCACGGATGAGGACTCTGGCCAAACCCTGCTCAGCGGCATGGGCGAGCTTCACCTGGAGATTGCCCGCGATCGCCTTCTCAACGACCTGAAAGCCAAGGCCTCCATGGGCCGCATTGAGATCGGATACCGCGAGTGCCCTCTGGACCGCGCCGGACCCGTCACGCAGATTTTCGACCGCGAGATCGCCGGCCGTAAAGGCAAGGCCGGATGCACAGCATCCATCGAGCCCTTCGACGATCTCGAATCCGCGTCCCCGCCAGACGACGAGGCCCTTGCCATCCTCACCACCGAGGGCAACCAAATCATCATTGTCGCTCCAGACCTGCAGGTGGAAGTCAACAAGCGCGGCGTCCAAGAAAGCCCTCTACTCCCACCGGGTCTCGACGTGGTCACATTCCAAAAATCTCTGACGAACGGCTGTCTGGCCGCCCTCGCCCGCGGGCCCCAATTCACCTTCCCCATGTATAGCACGCGCGTCACCCTCACCATCGACCCAGTCTCGCACCTCTTCGGCAGCGACACTACGCCCGCCGCCCTATCCGCCGCGGCGCGCCTCGCCACAGCCTCCGCCCTCCGAACCCTCTCCTCCCCCGGCACGACAGGCAAAACCGCAATGATGGAGCCCCTTATGGACGTGATCATCAGTATCGACGAAGCCAGCCTCGGTGCCGTGGTCCACGACATCTCGTCCTCGCGCGGCGGTCACATCATCTCGCTAGACGAAGAAATCCCCCTTCCTGCCACCGACCTCTTCTCGTCCCCGCAGAGAGCCGAGGATATCGACCTTCCACCCATCGACCCCAGCAGGGTCTACGCGCCCCTCGATCCATTCGAGACACCGTCCGGGGGCGCGGAAATGCCTGCGTCTGGGTCTGCGGTCCGTCCGCGCACCATTACCGCCAAAGTGCCCTTGAAGGAAATGGTTGGGTACTTGAAGCATCTGAGAAGCTTGAGTGCCGGACGAGGCACGTTCGTGATGAGTGTCGATCGGTTCGAGAAGATGAGTCCGCCGAGGCAGAAGGCAGTGCTTTCTGAATTGAGGGGAGAGATGATTTAGTATCTACGACTTAGCATACTTGAATATAATATGGCCTGAGCTCGCTGAAGTTGGTTGTGGATTGGGATGTTGATGTATCACTATATTTGTACCTATAATCTATACAAACCAGAATTTAGAACAATTTTAAACTTGCATTTCTAGGCACTACTCCTTTGATAAGGGTATTTATGGTCTTGATTATCAATATGATAGGTACTGTTCTATACTTAATTGTTAGTTATAAAGAGCGAGCGAGTGACTCTCCTATATGTATATAACTTAAATAAAGTGTTATTTTAAGGCTCCTTTAGGTTGGGTGCGGAGAGGCGGTTAGTATTATTCTTTAGCCTGTCTAGCCGCCCCCGCGCCCCAGGCCCCCAGACCCCTCAGAATACTTCCTCCAATCTTGGAAGTTAACAAGAAGCCTTAGGTAACGCCAAGTCTGCTTGTTTTATTCTCAGCCGCAGCGCGAACTCCTGATGCCTGAAGGATTTCAGCATGCTGCCCCAATGGGTAATAGGGCCGTGGAGGAATATGCACCCAACACGAGCACCGAGCGCTGGTTCGTCGATACCAAAGAGATAACCAAGCTACCAGTTGACCCTGCGCCATTTCTAAACCTGAAGCAGAAGTCAGACCGTGCGTGCAGCAGCCTCAATGAGGCTTCAGCGCAGCAGATCGAAAAAGAGCAGGGCTTAGACTCGGCGAAAGCAGCACAACTAGCAGCACAAGTAGCAGCACAACTAGCGAGGTCTTATAAACTCTACCGGGCCTGGGATAGGGCTGTTATAATCACTGGGGGCTTCCAATTTTCAGATTACTATGGCTTTGCACTACGAAAATCAGCCGATGCGGGCTCTGACATGGCCTTTGAGGTTGCGATATAATGACACAAAAGACACAAACTATCTACTGTCTGTATCTTTGTGTCACACCCATCAAAAAACTCCAACTGACTTCGCCTAGAACAGATTATACTGCCTATGAGCCCAGACGACCTCAATCAAACCCATCCTCGCTCCCTAAAACTACCCGATGGGAAGCCGTCCTGCGCGCTTTCGGGCTTGACATCATCTACACCACCATTAAAGGGCAGAGAGAAGAATACCCCAAGGTTGCGGTCTGGAGAAGCCGCTCGGTCGCCCTATCTAAGCTCCTCATTCACTTTATCCCATTCAGTGCAGTTGTCTTTCTAGTATGGATAAATATATATGGATACTGGCTCGGAAGCGAAGTCCCGGGGATCGAGGGCTACAACAGCGCGAAGCTAGGCGCACTGCAGTTTGCGACAAAGCTCCACGAGATTACGATGCTCGCATCACTTTCCTTGATTATCTTCACGTTCGTTCAGCGCCGAATAGTAGCCGAACAAATCGCCTTCGGGGCTATTTTTGCAGGCTTGCAGTTTAGCAATGTCAACTATCTCTGGTCCAAAGAGCTGTGGGGAATGATTGGTTCGGAATGGAGGAGACCACATGGGAAGCTTTTCATTTTGGTCCTTATGCTAGCAACCTGGCTGGCGCCTATTGTCGGACCCTCGTCGGGTGTATTGATGGTGCCCAAGGTCGACGACTGGCAGGCCGGTGGGACAGACTTCTGGCTCAATACTACTCAGGATAAGCTCTGGCCGTCCGAGGTCACCGATCATGGAGTTGATCGTGGGTGCCTGCTTGACAAAGGTCAATTCGACTGTCCATTCTCTGGGTGGAAGGCGTTTCAGGCCGGGGTCGTTCCCATGTTCCATCATTTGACCCTACCGGATGACCCGTACGCCTGGGTCGAGTTCCCGTCAAGTACGCGCGTGATTGGGAAATATGGATTTCGCTCGATGAATATCTTTAGCTCGGTCTCCTACCCCTTGACAGTTACTAGCAGCTTGACATCGGCACTGGCGGATGCGCTGTCAGTAGCAGGGACATTCTGGGCTGAAATACCTGGATGTCCTCCTATACGCCAGCATTTCAATTGGGCAACGAGTGCGGTTTGGAGTATCCCGAAGTTACGGCAACCAGTTACGACGGTTGCCTGTCGCATACGGAGTCTCTCGATAAGAGAAAGGGATCCGATCTACTTTCCAATGCTTGAGCACTCCCCAAGCGATGTACCAGCGCCTCTCCCTGAATGCTTCAATGTGTCCAACTCAAAACCGCTAGCTCGCGCCATCGGGAACGCTAGTAATACCCACCCGGACATTCTTTGGATTCCACTCGCCGACCATAAGCTTAGAAATCATTCTCTTGGTGCCATTGTCACAATTCCACCGAGCCCGACAAGAAATGGCACCCTCCTAAGCTGCACAATAGACGCTCATTGGGTCGATGGGGATTACAAAATAAATCATCGCCAGTATCATGACCAGGCATGGGCCGCAGAAGCTTATCTCAACGGCACTACAGACACGTCGAACAGAATTATAGCGCTGCCTCGTATTCATCTTTCGCCTCGATGGGCAAATTATCTAAACCCACGGATATCGAACACAAATCAAAGTGTTATCGAGGCTCTCATCTCAGCCGCGGGGTTCTGGCCCATGGAACCCCCGAGCAAGCGCGCTCGGGATCTCAATTCCGCTGTGGAGCTTAGTCTCTCCATGATGGTGAGCAATGGCTTATCAAACCTGAACCCTAACGTTGAGATTCAGGGCCGTCGGCCTGCTCCCAGGGGGTGTGATCCTACGTGGGTTGAGGCCCTGATGCCCCAGAAGCAAGCTAAGGGGCGAGGCGAACTTGGCCCCGGAGGCATGCTCTGGGACATGTCCGGAATTGACACGACCAACATGACCAAGTTCACAATGTCTGTGACCGTGAACGGCTACGCATACTCTCTGGGCGGAGCCACCTCCATCGCCGCGATTATAGTACTACTCATATACTGTCTACTAGTTGTTGCCCACACCGTCTACGTCTGCTTTAACTCTCGCAGCTCATCCAGCTGGGATTCAATCTCGGAAATAGTAGCACTAGCATTGCAATCTAAAGAAACCGAGTATTTGCGCAATACTGGCCCTGGTATCTCGACGAAGGAGATTTTCCGTTCGCCAGTGCAGATCCGCGATGTTGGACAGCGGGTCGAGTTAACTTTTCTTGACACGCGCGATGGAAGTGAAACGATTCAGGAGAATAAGGAGTACGGTTAAACGTGGTGAAGAGGTCATGTCACGCGAGAAATTTTCTTTACTCAGCCAAGTATTCAATTTGGCTTTGTCTGTCTATATACACATCCACAAGATAATTCCCGGGATTTTTTAGTCGCTTCAAGAGGTCATCTTTATCTAGGGCAGCTTGGGCGCCTCGACGAGACACTTGAATCACTTCATTTAGATCTTCGAGCTGTCCAGTTTGCTTGAACTGACTGTAGAGCTCGTCCCAGTCCAACAATACGTCAAGATCAGGGTTACCACCAGCGGTCACCTGAAGCGCCTCGCAGAAAATCCTGAGTTATCTCTTCAACGTCTTTCGTCTGAGTGGTTCGCCCTGGTAAATTTTCAAACTTGGCCACAAGTGTAAATTAAGAGTGATAGTATATTGAAAATATTCACCATAGTTCAACTTCTTTCCACCAGAAGGTGGATCGGCATGCCATATCTAGCTTATTCTAAACTAACAGTATAGGCCTACGAAGAGATCTTCCTTATAAACCCCAATATAGCGGTATGCGAGATCTTTCAGCCTCTGCTTGTCAATGCAGACAGTGAATAATATTTAAGGCTACGAAGTTTAGATAAAGTACGTATATAAAATATTGTATCCGGCGCCCAAATGCAGAAAAGGTGATATTTGATAAGCTGCAAGAGAAGATATCCTAGTTGATATTGCTGAATGCAAGATAATTCTATTGAAGACCTTAGAATAAAGAAGAAAAATCTTAATGTATTTCCGTGCCTTGTAGGTATTGGCTCGACTATGGGGCGAAACTACAGCAAGAGTACTCTTTCGGAATTCCAAAGACCCGTAAAAGTATACTGTAGAGCGACATAGACTGGAGAGCCAACAATCCAAGAATAACAAGATCACTGACACCCCGGGAAGTTGTCCCATTAATTTTAACTTGAATGGGGTACAACCTTCCCCTCAACCAGAGGCGCTCAATTCACTTACAACCCCAGCAATGCTTCCATCACCATATAGCCTATCCAATGACGACTTTCACATTCCTGGACTTCAACTTCGAGATGAGGCAGTTCGAGAGTATACCACTTGACATGAAACAAATGTCGGTGATGACTACATTTGAAAGCCCAATTCCAAGGAGCGCGCGATATTGCTCTGGCAAACAGTCTAGATGTTCAACTGATATATGAGGACCAAAACCTATCGTTTTTTATCGATAAGGGAATCGTGGTAGGTTTTGCCCGCCAGTTTGTAAGAGATATCGTCAAATGGGTTCGGAGTGTGAGGAATGTTTCATCGATAGAGGAGAGGGCGCAGGCAGCTCTCTGAGGGCGTACAAAGGCGCTCGCTTAGATTTTAAATTTATTATTGAATTATCTGTGCTTCATAAGTTAAATCTACCCTTCAATAAACTTCTTTAGTAAAGTAGACTGAGGCGTAACGTAGCATGATTTGGATATAAAGTAGGTTTGGTAAGCTCATGATAAGATTCAACGCCAGGCTGTTTTAAATCTAACGACAACTATCTTCAATATCCACACCAGAATGTCTAAAATGGCCTAAAGCGCTTTGCTTTCGTGATCTAACAATTTCGATATACCATTCGAGAAAAGCCGGAAACCCTTGTTCTGGGTCTTCTTCACACTGCACCCAGTTCCGTCTAATAAATGCTTTTAACTCGGAGAAGAACTCCTCAATAGGATTCAAGTCAGGAGAGTAAGGTGGTAGGTATACTAGCTTTACACCTGCATCGGCGTACATCTCTTTTATACGATCAGAGTGATGGAAAGATGCGTTATCCATAATTAGGACGGATTTTGGCTCAGGCCACCTTCCACAATGCCTCAACAGCTGGTCAATAAAATCTTCGAATAGAGCAGCATCGGTGGAGCCTTGAAAGACCCGAGAGAGAACGATTCCATCCTGAGAATATGCAGGCAGTATCTGGTAGCGCTGATCACGATGGAAGTTGACTACCTGCAATGGTGCTACGCCTAACGGAGACCAGCCTGTCCGTCTGAACCCAATTCGCTTATCCAGATTCATTCACATAGACGAAGTGATACGACTGAAAATCCGATAGATTATGTAGGTAGAAGTCTCTCAAGTCGGGACTCTGCTCCTTTGCTCTCTGTCGAGCCACCTTCTTTGACCAACCGACCGACCGAAGCGAGAGCTCGCTTGATACTGGAATTTGTCACCTGGACACGGAATTCGTCCCATAAAAAGATTGACATCTCATCCGCATATAGCCCTGGCTTTTTCCAGTAGATGATCGCACAATGCCTGTAGCATCGGAGGAGTTACGCTTCGTCGTCGACCGACCTGAGTTGGGGGTGCCCTGACATTTCCGAACCGGCGAAGGTTGTTGCTGATGTTAATGACGGATCGCTTGCTACATTCAGCAGCTTTGGCCATTTGTGAGGTGGTTAGTGATTCGCTCAATATCATATCTTGGATCATCTCAAGCTTTGAGAGGGGCAGTCTTGGTGCCATGTTGTACATAGAAGGACGGTACTGTCCAAGGATCAGAACGTTGGGGGAGGTCGGATTGGGCGGAAGAGACGGTTAGGAAACCACCGAATGTGAAGAAAAACCAATTCATTTTCCCACCTTGCTCAACCCTCTGCTCAGGGAGCAGGTGAAAACATTTTGGCCGAAAAGTCTGGGTGTTCCCTGGCGAGCCAACCGCATAAAGGCAAACAGGGAGACGGCTGCCACTGGGAGACGTAACATTCGTACCGCTTCCTTGTGGTACCATCGTCGGCCAGGCCTCCCAGGTTGAAATTCATCTCGTCACAAGTTTTGAACAGTGTAAGATTATATGTGAGTTACGGCACATGTAAGATCTGAAACATTCTTGCTGAAGACTTAATGCTTGCCGTTTCCTTTGGACAGTTATTCTAATTTTTAAAGTATCAAGCATATACTAAACAGACAAAATGATATTCAGCACCGACAATTCTCAGTTGGTAAGTACACATGGTATGGCACCTATCCAAAGCCAATAAAATCCTAATCTAGCACTTTAGCTTGCCGTCCAGGTTTGACAGGTCGTTATCTAGAAGGTTCGGTTAGCTAAAGCAAAATAAGAAGGTATCTACCTACCCAGATTGACAAGCGGGTAGTTAATGCTGTTGTCCTTAGTCGAACAGCCACATTTTAGCCAAGTTCCATCCATGAAGCAAGAACAGAATCTTGCCATCCCGCCCCTATTGAAGATTAGTACAGCCTTTATATGATAGTTGAACTAACCCGTTTTTAAGTCTAAGGACCCCATCATCATCACTGGTGTAGCAAGCGCTCAAATCCAACCTACTTCTATTCCTGGTGCCATCCATTTTCGTGTAGGTTGCGGTCACATAATGCGCATCATCCAATGACATTTTATCGCAAGTAGCCGAGAATTCGCCGGCAGCCGACAATGATGCAAGGCAGAAGCTGCCAACAAGCCAAAGGCAATAAGATCTCATACTGGAAAAGGTTCGACGATAGGATCAAAGAAGAAAAGCTATGATTGGCTTGAAAAAGGATACTGGGAAGAGACAGTACAGTACGAGCGCCCATCAGCTTAAGTATTGTTAAAGAGCGTATTTGTTCTGTTTCTCAGCGAGACCCTTTAGTCCGGTCGGGTTCGGCGCCGGAATCAATACAGTTGACGTAAAGTGAATGGTGGGTTTCACTGGGCATATATAGATGAATCTGGGTGAACGTCGGAGCTTCGACACTTCGACACTTCGACATCGGGTCCGCCGATCGAGATATCTTGCATATGGTGAGATACACTTCTTCACGTCCAGACGATTCTTGCCGGGCAAACAGCTTTTGGTATGGGTATACGCGGTCAAGGGGAGGGTTGACGCTCTATGGGGTTAGCCGTTGCGCTTGCCCATCTAAACGGCCCATTGCCAGGCGTTGGCATGCCCCCCACGATCTCATAAATTCTATCAAGTGGAAAGACCTTGCTGTTTTGTATCTTTATGAGTATCTGACCGCTTTTGACTGCCTATTCAAATAGGTGGCTTTGCTGTACTGTGATTAATGGTACTCTTCGTTTCTTCATTCATGGGCTGGATATCTCTTAGCCATCAAATAATGCGCTTGCGATATTTTTTTCGGGTCTCTCTTATCGTTTGCTCTTCTACCTTTCCATCTGATAGAAGTATCCTCCTGTATCAAGGCCGCTTGTCATGTGAAATGCCTTCGTTTCAAGGACCGCGGTTGATGCCCGTACTGTGCTCGATTTGCGTCTCTGGTGGTTGCCCGAAAGGCAGACTGCTGAGGTGAGGTGCTACAAAGGCAGTGAGTGCTCCGTTGGGTTGGGCATCAGTATACTTCAAGGCCTGGGTTTCTTCGCCATGGATAGGAATCCACGACTGAATCAAAACTGTGCGGTCCTAGACAAGGTAAGTAATCTTTGGCTCATTCTCCAGAACCGAGCTGCCTTTATCCATAAGTTGGGCCCATACATCCAGAGCACAAAAACGAATTGCCCTGGGGCTTGTATAAAGACATTTGTTGCAGCTGCCATGTTAGGTATACTCATCTCCATTTGGATTTCTCACATAAACAGACTCACAGTTTGGCATTTCTCTAAACTTGAAGTTCGAGAATAGAACTGCCACCGCGTCATCATAACCAGATCAAGCTCTCTGTAACGATAATGTCCATGTCACTTGAATTATTGCCTCAGGAGTTACTTGATGAAATTTTCAAACAGGTATCCTCAAAGACCAGTCTGTAACCTCGTCTCCAGCTAACATGTGCAAAATCTCAGTTAGGGTCTGAAGACCTATGGCATGTTTTTGAGACATCCAAGACACTTTGTTACAGCGTTGCCCCAATGCTGTTTCGGACAGCACGAGTTGAATCTACTAGACTTGATTCTGACAGGGTATCTCTGAACAAAAGAGAGTTGCATCCGCGCCTTGCACAGAATATTTTGACGACATGGGCTTCGACTGTACAAAGTCTAAAGTATAAGTTTGGCGTGCCGTTTCAAATGATAGAACTACTGCCCCAATTTGCGAACGTCAAGTATTTCAGGTACGCTTGATGTTCATCCAGCCAGGACGCACCTCAAGGGGCCGTCTGACAATAGCAGCATTGGGAGTCATCTCGACAAGGAAATCCTTCGTCAAATTCTTCAAATGGCCGCAGACTTTCCGGTTCTCCGTGAGTTGAAAGTGTGGTGCAGTGAGCCGGTCGTCTGGAGACAGGATTGGAACTTTCAAAACCTTCGTTCTCTCGCAATTAAAGACCTCGGGTGCAACCTGCTCTTCTTAATCTCAAGCTGTGCTTTGGCGAATATTATTATATGCCGCACAGAGGTGATTTGGATGTCTACGTGGATTGGTCCCGCCTGCCCAGTCTCATAGCGCTCGAAATTGAAGGCGTTCTTGATGACCCCCTTTATGGCTACCTAAATTTCGAGGGTGTTACCAAGTCGCTACGGAGATTCACTGCCAAACATATGAACGGTTGGGATTTCTGGGATCACTGGAAATCTATGAATGAGAGTCTTGAAGAAATACGGCTTCAATCTGCACGTGAGAGCTACCCTCGTTACACGGTGCTGGACTTCCCACGTTTGAAGACCCTCGAATTGGCAAACTCCTTGGACTGTCTTCCTCTCTTCAATATCGGATTGCCGGCCTTGAGCCAGATCGACCTGAAATTTGGCCCTACAGACTTCGGTTACTACCTTCCATACCATCTATCGTCACCAACTTCAGTATTAAAAAGGCTACCAATTACCCTCAACCTCATGCAGGACGATTGTATTTTTTTCTCATTGGCTAGGAGAATTAAGAGACTTGGATTGCCCGGTGCCAGAAATCCTCACTCAACTGATCTCTCTGCCGAACGTGAGGCTCCGAGAAGATGGAAGCATGATTCTGCAGATATTATCATCTTGGGATCCTAGATTCAGGGCTGCTTGATCTAAGGTACCCACAGAGAGCCATCCATGCAACGAGGTCGGAGATCATGAAGAAGTCGACGCCTTACACCACACAGATATTTCCAAGCTCGATGGCCTCAATACCAGACCACTACTGGACATCTCAACACGCTAGCACAGATGTATTCAGGGTGACTGCAATCGTTGTATGCAATCAGCATAATATAGATGGGAGCCTGCGGCGTTGTGGGAATGCATAAGTTTTGAGAAACCGTTTACTACAACTGTGCTAGACAAAATTGGCTTTGGATATATTTGGGAAAAGGTACAGTACACGACAAATATATATTGTAGAGATAGCAGAACGTAGTCTTCCAGGTCACCGAGGATGAGAGGTTAGCATATGAATTCGATGAGTCAATCAAACCACTAAAACCCTTCTCGGGAGAAAAAGTGGAAAGAGCGCCCTTATTCGATTACAATTTCTATTTTGGCCCTTCAGCAACACTTGTCAGACCGATTAACTGACGGAAGCTTGCGGATTCCTTGGGTCCCAAAGGTTTAGTAAGTCCATCTGCAGCTTGCTGCTTGGTCGGAACATATTGAATGTTGATTTCTCCAGCGTCCAGTACAGATCGCTGATAGTGAAACTTGACATTGCCACCTTGGGAGGTGGCGGTTGGAATCTCCTGAAAGGATGACGCTTGTTGATCTTTGATCCTTCTGAAGATTAGATGTTCTTGTGTTTTGGATTGCTGTGAGTGATAATTCCGCTGACGCCTCGTTTGGCGTGAATAGCGGGACGACTGCCAGATAAACCGAAAAAATAAGAATCTGAGTATCGGCTGTCCAGATTTTGATGGCGGTAATGTCTGGGTGGTCGCACCGGATCTGTCGGTGCGATGAAGTTGAGAGGTTTCGAACTGCGTCCGTTCCGACTGTTGGTCGGTATAGCCGCCAGGCGCTATGGTTGACGTGTGTTTGGTAGCTAGTGATGGACGGTTCCTGGCTTTGGTGGTCGTTGTGAGAGCTTCCATTCATGGTCCCGATTTCATCATGTTCAACTGTAGTATGCGTAGGTTCGTCTCTAACATTGAAAGGGATTGGAAGTAGCGGGGGTAGGGCACTGTCGATCATTCGTTGGGTGTTCGCCGCTGCAGTCGAGGCATCGAGCTCTTACCCCGGGGGGCAACGTTGCCGCTCGTGTTGGCCTGCACACTGGCCGCATCGTGGAGTTTCTTTGCATGACCATGCCAGGTGCCCAAACCGTTGACACCGGAAGCATCTCTTCTTCTTGATCTCGCGGCGTTCCACGCTGCCGATGTATCTTTGACCGACAAGGAGTCCGTTGTCGAGGATGCGCTCGACTCCCTCCGCAGAGTCAAACCAACTACCAAGCGAAGCAAATATCCCTAATACCTTGTCCTATCTTTTAAGCCATGCCACCTCTTCGATTCTATAGCCCTGTTCCACTAAGTCGTTTTCTTCCATAATTTTCTCAATAGCCTAAGCGCTCGCATTCTCCAAGTCAAAGTCTGCTGTCGGGGTGCGGTATACGACAATACCGAATCGTGGTTTAACCAGCTTCGTGTTGTTTCCTAGCTCTTTCAGCCATTCACTATTATTGCGAGCTGCTGTAGCCGATTCTGGGTCTTTAAAGCGAATTAAGTACCCTGTTTTAGTAGTGCCAATGCCAGCTACCTGTGCGTATTGTGTGGATGGTGCGTTTAGCAGCGCCGTTCGGATGTGGTTGTTGGCAGCATCGGTGGGGAGGTATCGCCCGAAGGTGTTGCCCTCGCTCTCGTCGTTATCTCTTGGGTCCACTAGTGATCGTTGGGTGCTGATTCGGACGCAATTCCGTTCTTTCTCGGGCTGTTGGTGGTTTGGTTGGGTGCAGCCATTATTACCGCTGGCCGCTACCTCAACCTATGACCTGGACGGGGCTACCGGTGTCGGGGTTTGGGATTGCTTTCGCAGAGTTTTGATTTCGTCGCGGAGCTTTTCGTTTTGGTCATGGAGGATATTCTGATCAAGTTTGATTTCTAAGAGCTCTGCGTTGGTGGATTCGATGAGACTGGTTTGGTGATGGATAATGTCTTTTAGGGTGCTGGCGAGTCTCCACACTTCTCGAGTGGTAACTCGACCCGTACTTTCTGACGGTGTGAAGGCATCGCCGCTCCGTGTTCTCTTGCGGGACTGAGGAAGCGGTTCGACTGGAAACCGAGGCTGGAAATCCTCGACTGAGAAGCTGATGTTCGTTTCTTGGGTGTTTGTGGGAGGGGGTTCGCGCTCCCGTGGGCGGGTCCGCCATCGGTCCGTGGTTAGCTGCCGCTCGGTACACCACCACCACAGTTTTATATCGAAGATAATATCAACGTCCGGGTGTACAGCGGTTCTCCTCTGCCATGGCTTGGTTACAGGACGTATGCGAATTGGGTGCCGCGTCGACAAGAAGGAAAAACCCGGGCTGGGCTTTCTCAATATTCACGGGTGGGTCCGTTCTTTACCGTGTACATTGGTTCTTCAATATATATACTTTTTGTCTATCACAAATGTTCGTCACGCTAGGAAAGCCCAGTCAAAGACGATATCCAGTACTTACAGAAAAGAAAAATATCATTGTGATAGTAAATAATTTTTGGATAACCATAAATGACACCCGAACTCTATTTACCGCCACGACCTTAGCAATTGCCCGGGCAAGTTGGGAATATGTGATCGGGTAATAGGGCAATCTTCAGAAATGCACGTCGTTAGCTCAGGTATTTGTGGCAGAAATATGTGGGTCTACCGAGAAGCGATGATTCAACTAAGGAATAGGATCGTTTTCAACTGAATGAAGGTCTTAATTCTTTCTAACTACACGATAAAGAAGCCAATATTTATGCAGTCTCAGGGCTTCAGGATCGTCATAAAATGAGCGGAATTGCATGATCTATATCGTCATAAATCATACGATTTTATATTGATCGGTTGCATGATCGGTCCGGTCAAGCAAGGCGATGATATAAGCGGATTAGTCATCTCACGCGGCCACAGTATTTTAACTACAGCCCCATTCCCTCTATTGTAAGCTGACCTGACCCGTCGTAAAGAATCCATATTTAATGTGTTGATCCTTTGATTATGGCTCCAGCCGACGATGGGCACAATAGACGTAGTAATCAGTGTAACCCTTTGAGACAACAAAATCTGGGTCAAGCGAAAGACAGAGCATCACCTGATCACGGCTCGCGGCAGAGGTATTTCCCCGGGAAATTAATACAGTATGGACCCACAATGGGCTATTGGAGTCACTTCTCACTGGCACTGAACCCCGGAATCCGCCTCCGCAATACTTGGGGTCGTGACGCGCTGGACTGGGCCAAAAACCTGTCCCGATTTGCCAAGTATCTATCACCCGCTAAATATTGGTATGGTCTTTCTTTCTGTTCAAGGGAGCCGCCGAAGGAGAACCGAATTGTCCAGCACGATCGCAATGGGAACTCGAGGCCTTGAGATAGTGCGCTTCCGCAGGCGTTACTACATTCGCTACCACCGGCTCGACAGCTACTTCGAGGGTCTTGGCGCCAAAATTATCGCGGGCATCCCTACTGACCCTAAGGAATATCATAGTACGCCATGAGGAACTCTCCGTGCCTTAAATTATACTAATGATTTGCAGAATGGCTCGAGTCGATGCGAGCCGAGTATGCGGCTAGGGAAAATGCCCTTGAAAGGCATGTCTACAAGATCCGCGATGGCTTCAAACCTGACTATTCGCTGTTTCGCGAGTTCGAGACGCTTCCTTCTGAGTTCCCGCGGCTGGGTAACTATGTTGAGTACTTTTACATCATCAATCTCGACCATGAAGTCCTTACCATGGACCACAGCATACATTGGAAGTTGGGAAATATTCCGCGCCAGGACGAACTATGGCTTCGCGCTATCGTAGACAGCATCTATCCGTTCAAGCTCACCATCTCCCTCGACGTCTGTCCAGAAGAGCATATGACCTCGCCGGCTTTGGAGTTTCCTAAGCGGAACCGAAAGATTAAATACGACTTTCGCCTTGTAACCCCGAGGACACACCTTGCGGAGGCGCGAAAGGTGTTTCTTACATTCATTATGGCTAATACGCTTATTCAATATAAGGACGAGATCATCAGATTTGGGATGGAGTGGAGCCCGGACTCGTTTCCCTTCCGCGAGTTGGCGTTTGCTCTCGTCTCAATTGCGTCTAGTCAGACCACATTCTATTCTTTCCCCGCTCAGTTGTGTAACCCTCGAAATTGCGAAATGTCAGACTGCAAGTTAAACCACTTACCCAAGTCACCTGGATGGCTTGACGAAGAGTGGGCTGGTGATAGCGCTCCGTTGCTAGAATTTGGCTCCCCGTCCCACCGACCGGGCGAGCCTCCAGGGGCGTCACCCACGGAGACGATGTACTGGCTCGAGGATGTGCTTGTCAGCCTTGCACTAGCAATTGATGGAGAGGCCATTACGAAGGCCGTTACTTGGGGCATTGGGCAGGGACGCACCAACTTTCAGCTCGTTGTCCTGTCGCTCTTCAAAGCGGCCTTTGCGGAGGTCTCCTTCGGTGACGACGAGAATCCTTTCGTTAAAGTCAGCGGTACTGTCGATCTATCCCCTCTGCGCGCAGACTATTGTGTGAGCACACATCCGCGTATGCGACCAGAGCTGAAACCTGGGATGGAAATCCGGCATCAGCGCGGTGAGCGTATTATGAACTCGAACTGCACAGGGACAAGGAAAAGACTCCAGGGTATGTTTCCCGGGCTTGCGGCGCTCGCAAACTTCTTCGAAGTCGCCGGGAGCCGCCGCGCAGCATCCAAATCGGCAGGTATTCTCCCGCTGGAGCTGTATGATCTAATTCTGGATTTTGTCGACTATGATACGTGGAAAACCTGCTTGCTAGTATCGACAGGGTTTCGTTCCCGGTGTCTCCGCAAGTATAGGCTTGATGATCGGATGAGGATTGTGGCAGGGCCTTTTGTGAGGCTGCAAAGGCACCACAAGGAGCGTCTGGTGTCCTTCGACTTCGAAAACATGCAAATGGGCGAGATCCTTCCAATGATGCAGGATCCGCATTGTATATGGACAGAAGAGTATAACTGGATGCCAGTCATTGGCCGCGACCGAAAAGCACTCATGGTAGACATCGTCATCCAGTTTAGACCGGCGGGCGATGTGCCAGTGGAGGCCGACAGCGATGATGAATGCATGAAGTCTTCTGTAGCGTGAGCTGGATGAAGCCTGAGTTAATCCGAACGCCAAAGTAGGCTATTCAATCCACCAGGCTTAAAGTTGAGTTGAAAGATCACTGATCTTCGGAACAGGTGAATATATTGGGATGTATTCTGAAAAGGATATTCCTATACCTAGTTACTCAGTTAGATATGGTGACTAATAGGGATCCGCTCACGCTTTCCACTTTCCACGCGGAGCATTATGGCTCAACTCGTTTCCCATAACAAGACCGCCAAATACCTACCAGCCACCCAAATCAAAAGGAGCAGCGGTGGTTTCGCTGCTCCATGAAGAGACTGCGAGGTGCAATGGTTTCATGCCCGAGTGATCCTGAAGATTCGATGGCGCACCTTGCTCCAGAAGAAGATACACCACTTTGCTATGGCCATTTGAGGCCGCGCAGAGCAACGCTGAGTGGCCACTGTCGCCCACTGCAAGAATGTTGGCCCCTATTTCAAAATGAGACGAACCACGTCGTCATAACCAGAGTCTGCGGCTAGGTGGAGTGCTGTTAGTCGGTCATGAGCATGATGATTGATATCACTCCCTTTGTCGATGAGAAAGCGCACCGTGGAACAATGTCCACTCGAGGCAGCAATGGACAAAGCGGTCTGATCGTTGTCATCTAATAGGTCTACAATGTCCTGCTCAGCCACTAGGTGCTCAAAGATGCCAATATGCCCGTATCGTGATGCCGAATGCAGTAGCTGCTGTTCTTGGGTCACGGAGCTGGTACCAGACTGGGCCGCTGAGGCCAGAAGGCAGGCGAAAATCTCTCGATGACCCATTGGCGCCGTGAGAAGCACAGGACTGCAGCCTTCACGGTCAATAATTTCAGTATTGGCTCCCTTGGCCAGCAAAAGAGTCACTATCGCGCTGTTCCCGTAGTACGCGGCCCGGTGGAGGGGCGTTTGTCCGAACCAGCCTCTATCAATATGGCCACATACTTCACATTTCCGGTCACTGCGGCTGCTTGAAGTACGGTACCATGGAAGCCACTTTGCTTTCGTATCGGCTGTGTCTCAGCAACCTAGTTGAATCTCTTCACAAGTGTCTCCCAACCATTGCAGATCCTCGCTTGTGCAGTTCTTCTGCCAGTGTTCTTGTTTCTCTAGAGACCCCCATATATCCGGTAGCCCACCCTGGTAGTGCAGGTTTGCCCCTGCATAAATGAGCCGTTGCACAATGCTTTCGTGCCCGCCTGCTGCTTCTGCCTGGACTGCCGTGCCGTAGTAGCCACCAATAGCGTTTACATCAGCACCACTGTCCAGAATGTCGCAAAGCATGTCTTCCGCATAGCGGCCCTCTGGAGGATTGTTCCGTAACGCTTGTCACCCATGTAAGGACCTACTCTGTTATCTAAAAGATCCTGCACAATGTGTCTGTGCTCATCAGTCACTGCCGAAACTAACGTGTGCCCGTTAAAGTCTGGCTTGACATGTTGAGACTCCTTGAAGGAATCAGACTCCACGGTAGGATTCGCGCCACAGTCAAGCAACTTGTTGACAATTTCCAGGCTCTCACAAGATACTGTATTATGTAGAGCTTCCGCCAGATCACTGGACACAAAATTCTTTCTCTGGATAACCCGCTGCAGCAGTAGCTCCATGAGCTCAAGTCTTTTCCAGTGGATCGCCTTGGATAGGGCATACAGGTTCTTGTGGTGTTTGTCCTGCTCTGGCGTATGGTTTTCAGCTAGTTCTAGCAATTTGACCACCACGCTAAGTCTCGCTTTCCGACATGCGCGTGTTTCAAGATCAATGGGTAGCACATGATCTATCAATAGACTGACTACTTCCTCTTGGTTTGTCTCTAGGGTCAACAGTAGTGCATGATACAGGCCGCACTGGCCATGAGACGAGGACAAGTCCGAGCTATAATAATCAGAGTGATAAGTATAGTCGGAACTATCCTTGTAGTCGGAGTTGTAATTATCATCGCTACTCATGGAGACTTTGGGAGGTAGCGCTTCCAATAAGAGCGTGACAATCTGGGTGTAGCCTCCAGTCACCGCGAGTACCATGGGATATGGATCATACTCCCCGATACAAGTTGGTAGAATGAAGCCGAGTTGCTGAATTGCCTCTCTATCAAAACCATGGGTTCTCTTACAAGTCTCTGCACCCTCACCCTGTTTGAGGCATAAGCTAACGAGGTCCGCATTCCCGGACAGCGCTGAAAGTTGGAGGCTTGTTCCCCATCTGCCTCTGGATTTAGTGGCTTTGGCCCCCTTCTCAAAGAGCCATCGCGCGACGGAATCATGGCGTCCTGCCAATGCTGCTTGTAGCGGCGTGCTGAAGACATCGCTGAAGTGATTTACATCTGATCCATAGGCCAACAGAGTTCAGCAACTTCTTGGTGGCCACCCAGGCAGGCGAGCTGCAGACCATCATCCACATCTCTTTTGGCCTTCAGCAGCATCTCCACCACCCGCTTATGGCCGCCCACAGCAGCAGCCTGCAGGGCACTCCTAAAAGATCCGCCCTTGACATTGACATCGGCACCCTGCTGAAGCAACAGCTGCACTATCTTCTCGTATCCCTCTCGAGCCGCTGCTTGTAAGACAGTACAATAATCGCCCCCGGTCAATTTGACATCGGCTCCTGAGTTTGGCAATCGCTGTACCAAAAGATGATTACCACTACGGCACGCTGCAGGAAGGGCGGTGTCATAGACAGCCGCCTGAACATTTACTGAAGCGCCTGATGTCAGGAGAAGCCCCACAATTCCAATGCTGGCCTGGCGGCAAGCTGCAATCAGCACCGTACCGTACTTCCCAGCTTGCATGTCGGGGTAGGCTTTAGCATCGATGAGTTGCCGGACGATAGTCGTTTGACCAGCCACGGCGGCAGATTGCAACGCAATGCCATATTCGCCGCCTATGCGGTTAGGTGATATTCCAGGGTAGCTTAGCAGTACTTTGTCGACCGCTTCATGGCCCGCTCGAGCAGCAGTATGTAATGGCATACCAAAGCCTTGCGGTAAGATGTACAAATTCACATCTCGATCTAGCTACAACTGATATTTCATCTCATCTTCTCGCCGTTTAGATGGGCGAATCGCTGGCTCACTGTTTCGTTCTTGTTCCAGTACGTTCTTGACGACACTAAGAATGCTGGCGGCCGTTGTAGTCCCATTTCCAGGCTTCTCAAGTGTCTCTTGTTCATTTCTGGTCCGATCTGGTGCTTCTATTTCCGCGCCGGCGTCCAAAAGCCGCTTGACTACCCTCACATGGCCGCGAAGGCAGGCTGCATGTAGGGCCGTTCCTAATTGGCCACCAGTAGCCTTGATATCGGCCTCATGATCTAGAAGAATCCCGACCACGTCCAAATGGCCATGAAGGGCAGCGCCATGTAGCGCTGTACCATACCGCCGGCCTTGTGCTCGGACTCTGGCGCCTGCCTTTAGCAACATCAAGACCAGAGCCTTGTAGCCCCCCGCAGCTGCACGAATCAGAGGGGTCTTGCTGTCATTATCAATGGGGTCCACATGAGCGCCTGCTCTGCAGAGCGCCTCAGCAATTTCCTGGTGACCATATTTAGAGGCGAGGTGGAGGCCTGTGGCACCCATGTTATTCGTCCTGTCTATGTAATCTTTGCTCAATTGTATGAAGTGACCAATGACATTATTGAATCCAAACGCACAGGCAGTGAAAAATGAGGTAGCTGGTGAGCTAAGAGCCTGGATTATCTTGTCTTTATGGGGATCATTCCACCCAAGGACAAGCGAAGAAGCAGGCTGGATCTGGGGTAGCCAGGATCTGAACCACGGTCGCTCCTGGCACAGGTATTCAATGTGTCATGTATGGCATCAATGTCATGCTCTTGGCCTGCATGCACTACATGCAAAGCCCAATAAACCACTACATAATAGTAAAATTTGTCACGAGGAAAGGATGATATAGTCGTTGGTTCAGACGCAAACCTTTGAACAGTGGCTAAACAAAGATCAGACACAGCTGCATGCTGTGCCTGCGGCTGCAGCCCATCTTTCTGTTCAAGAAAGTCACGTACCGCCGTGTGGATGAAACGGAACTCGTTGCTATCTTTGTCAACCACAATCAGATCTTGACAGCTTTCAAGCACCATGGGTACAGAAAATTCCGTGGCATTTGCATCGGAGCCAATGTTGCCTCTCTCCATATACAGAGCGAGGGCCCGAACGAGGTCCTCTGCTCGAACAGGCGCCTGTGCACACAATAGCCACCGGAATATAATTAACGCTGTTTGGTAAGCTCTTGACTCTCGTGGGTCATTGTTGATAGTGATGTAGATATCTTCAAAAAGGTCCACCAAAGCCTTATGAAGATCTCTGAATGGCTGAAACATTTCCTCTTTGAAAATGGAACGGCCAGATCGGCGAAGCAACACCAAGGCCCGTAGCTTAACCCAAAGAAACCTGTCTCCGTTATCCTGGAAAACATTTTAACCCTCAAACTGAAATTGTGAACTTACATGCCCTGGGCACCGTCGACTAGGTGTCTTGTTAGTTCATTCTCTGTTTCACTTATTGTAGCAGAACTCCCCATCTTTTCCACACATTTTGCGGCCTTTTCCCGAGCATATGCCTCAATATCTGTGCTATTATGGCCCACCTCAACGGAAAGAAGTGGCGCAGAGGAAAGCCGACCAGCAACGTTCAATGACGGGCGACTGGAGATGAGGATCTTGACTTGGCCTCCATCAGCTCTGGTCAATAGACGATGAATCAATTCCAGGAGTTCGTCCAGGAAGTCTTCATCGCACTCGTCAATTGCATCAATACAGATCGTGGTGGTTCCCTCATCTATAAGATCAAAAAGAAGCTGAACTGCATCGTTCCAAAGGGGACGTGCTCCTTGTATCACTGCATTGTCGCCCTCGTCCTGTATCATCTTCTCGTAAGCGCGAATAACATCTCCTCGCATTGGGATTGGGCCCGAAGGTCCTGGACGAGCGAGCTGGGCAACTAAGCAGCACACGAGGATTCCAGGGTCTTTCCAGCGTGGATCGGGCCTATTGCGCGAGAAAATGATGTAGGCAAGACGCCCAGTTGGGGCATGCACGTGTTTGGCCTGCAGGCTATCAATGATTGTGGACCTGAGATACAGTCAATCTTGCTTTCATATCGTCACGACCTGAGTTCAAAGAGAATTCAAACATACACCAGCGTACTCTTGCCCGTTCCCGCTGGAGACTGAGTTAATACCTCGGTGCACCAGAGGGCCGATGGCGGAAGCAGGCAAAATGCAGCCGAACAGGATCAATTGGAGAAGTGCAAGGTAGCGCTACATGTGAGTCTCTACAGATCCGCCTAAAAATACGTATTAACAGTCAATAGACGCCTTTCCTCACGTTCCAAACTGTGAAAGAGCAAAGGGAGGAAAGACAAAACATCAGACGATCAAATCCTACTGCACTGTTTAAAGGGGATGCAAGAGTTGTGGCTGATGCCAAGGACGACGCCAGAGCGACTCTTAAGGAATTAGCGAACACTGCCGTCAAGAGACAAGGGCAAAAATATTGGACTCCACTCAGTCGATATCTTCTTCTCAAGGCCACTGGATGTCTCAAGAGAGCCCAAGGAATCTCTGGTAACGGCAAATTGGATTCTCAAACGGCCATAAGGTGGTTGCGTGATACTGTGGCTGTCATGGGAGAAAATAGGAAATCGTCTTCAGGTCAGAAATCTTCGTCAAAGGGCTCTAGCCGCTCTAGAAAGGATGAATCCAGCATCTATGTAATGGAAGCAATCGAGTACCTCATTGATTGCTTATCCTTGGTCGACGAGAATGATGCCAGGAAAGTGAGTCCAAGTAACTCCACTAGAAACGACCAGAGACCTTCGAGTGATGGATTGCACGGGCCCCCGTCTCAAGACCCGGACAACAAGCCTCATGTCCCTGTTGAACCAGAGAATGAAGGAAAGAAAGTGGGGCTGCACCAACAGCGACACAAGTCGCGCACGCTGGATCAATATTTCTACTCTTCTTTGCCTGATACATTGAGACGAGACGCGGACCAAGTCATTCGGCGCTATCAGGCCAGGAAGTGCAGTGCAAGCAAAATTCCCCATGGGGAACAGTCGATTACAGATGAGAGAAATATCAAGAAGACCTCGGGCTCCAAGAGCGATCAAAATGCAGCTAAGACCAGCATCCCCGGCCTGGACTACCAAGACGATTTCAAAATATGCATGGTGGATCAGCTGTGGCTATGGGTTCTTGATGACAGTAAGTGTTGATTTTGGCGACGTTGAAGAACTATACGCAGCTGATCTAGTGTATCAGAAAGCATCACCACATGCTTTCCACACACCAGCGAAGATCTGCCCCGAGACGGAGAACAGCAGGATTCTCTGTTAGATCGTATCCGTGATCACATCAACCGAGATATGCGCCCACAAATCCGGACTGTATACCATCTTGCAGCATTGATTGTCAGTTATTTTGTGAGCTCGATCGATGAATGTCAAGCACAGACAGGAGAGGGGCCAGAGACACTGTTCGATATGTTCTCGGGATCTATAGGTTCAGTGGTAAGTCAAAGAGGGAACCTTTGCTTGACTTGATACCCAAGTTCCAATATGAAGTCTGTCTGGACAGTCAGGATCTTAAAGGCTAACGGATGTATTTCCTATGCAAAGGCCGATCAAGAGGTCAAGCTGTTCAATTCCTTCAAAAGTGGTCTAGGGGTAGACGGGACCTATCTGTCACTTGAGCAAGACATCGAACTACTGGAAGAGATCAAGGATATTCGGGACGAACTTAACATCCTTGAGCGTATTTTCGACGAGCAAAAAGATCTCACACAGAAGCTCTTCAGTCTTGCTAGCAATACTAATCTTGAAGATCTTAGCACAGCGATCCGCAATGACCAGGCCTTGCAATACTACCACCAACGAGCCGATGTTGGCTTGCGTCTTGACAGAATAAGAAAGATGGATGAAGATGCCAAAATTTCCTACGATGCGGTAAGATAGTATCTTCAATTTCTCTCTGGTATTGAATATCCTACTCAGACCTCCACCCGGCAGACAAACTATCTCTTAGATTTGAAGCAGAAACATGCAAACGTCATGGGAGCAAAAGCGGCCCGCGAACAGACAGAGGAGACTGCTGACCATTGACCAAGGACGAACTATATTAGTTTTCACAATTGTGACAATTATCTTCGTAAGTTTTCATGCCGCACATGTGTGTACAAGACTTACGTATCCCCCCGGCCCCGCTATCATTTCTTTCTTTCTTCGCGCTCAATATTGAGTTTTTCCCGCACTCTGGTGACAATGTCAGCTTTCCGGACAGATGGATCTACTGGCGAGTCTGTAAGTGACTGGACTTGGTATAACCTAGTTTCCAATCGCGTGGAGCTAACTGCGATTCACATAGATGGAATCTCAGTCGCAATCTTTGTGCCATTGATTGTCGACACCCTGGGATACAGTCGATTGAAAAAGCTCTGTGCCTCATTGTCCGACAAGCGGCCCTTCTCCGCGATGATGAGAAGCCAGACCCAAGGGCCTCAAGATTCCTTTGCTAGATCCCCTGATCGGCCATCTGGACCGCCTACAGGGCCCTCTTTGAGAAGAGCCCGGAGAATAGACCCTGAGTTGGGACACCCTGGGCCCATGATGAGCTTAACACCCACTTCTCAGGAAGAATCACCGAAATAGCTAGCGTTATTGATGCTCTCCAATACTGTTAGCCAAGGGGTGGATATAACGCATTTATTGATAGACTTACTTTCGTACTATCATTTATGTATCCACAAGGCTTATTGGGTAGCTGTACATATTTACAAGATCTATGATTCCTGTGAAGCTCTCAGTGCGTAGGTAGACAGAATCATTTACGCCTTCTTAAGATTTATTGGGATACTGTTTGCAGGTATGTTAGAACCTCGCTTAGGCATGTACATGTCCCCTTGTGTATTTCGAGTTTATTTGATAAAGGAACTTTATTGTGTCTGGGTTACTACAGAGCATGAGCATAGACACTATCCATACCATAGCAAACCAGATCAGACTAGATCGTATCAAAGCATAGCGTAAGTATAGGTAAGTAAGCATAAGCATGTAAATATAAACATCTCATGAATCTGAATCTGACCAATAGACCAAGACAACAAAAAGAAACGCTCCTGTCCACTTCACTCCCACAGTCCAATCAAGTCTCAGTTCCAGCCCCTGTCAGACAGTGGAAGCTGTTAACCAGGGCGACAGACAACAAGCTAGCTAAATACAAATCTAATGCCAATCAATGCCAATATCAATATCAATACTACTGTCAATGCAATCACCAATTCTCATCCCACCCCTCATCCTGACTCTTTCGGCCCGCCGGAGCAGTCGTCGTACTACTGCCACCGGCACCAGCACCAGCGGTACTAGCACTCGTCGCGCCAGCCGGCGTAGACGTAGACGTAGACGGCTTCATGGCGGCCGTTCCGATAGCGCTAGACCGCGAAGCCGTGCGATGATGATTCTCCTCGTTCCCTAGGGACGAGAAATCGTCCCAGAAGTCCTTGCGCTCGGGATCTTCCCGTCCGCGACGGCGCGTGTCGTCGGGTCCTTCCACGAAGCGGTTGAAGTGGTCTGCGGCGCCGCGCGCGCCGGTCTGGATGTTCTGGCCGAAGGTGGAGGCGTGGACGCGCGCTTGAGCGGCGAAGTCGGATTCCGCGAGCTAGAATTCCCAGCGTGTTAGCCAATGCTCATATCTAGATGCTTCCATCCATTCCTGTAGGGTGGGCATAATTGGAAAATAAGAAGTAGTGAGGGAGGGGAAAGGACATACAGTCTTCGCCGTAGGCTGGATATACGAATCATTCATCGTCTTCGCGCCCTTCCCCACCGCCGTCGTGAACCACCCAAACCCCTTCGTCAACGCCGCCATAGGATCCTTCTGGAAGTCATCGAGCCCCGGAACGCCTCGCCCTGCGCCGCCCCGAGCACCACCGCGCGAGGGCGAATCATCCGCGGGCAACCCACCACCAAAGCCTGTAAACTTGCCGCCCTGCGAGGGCGGCAACGTCGCTGAGCGCGTTGCGTTCTCAGACCCCAACTTCGCAAAATACGCCTCGTTGCGCTCCTTCTTCGTACTGCCACTCCGTCCAAGCCGATCCCCGTCGGCCGGCGACCCTCGTCCTGTACTCCCGCCCGCTAACGGCGTGCTGGACCTCGACGGTGGCTGCTGCTCTGCTTTCTTGTTGTTCAAGTTATTCCTCTGCACCAGCGTAGGGTCATATTCCCGGCCCTCGACCTTCGCTGCCAACCGTTCCTTATATTCCTCTCCGACCTCGCCCTCATACCGTTCCTTGATGGTGGAGTCTTCGAAAGTGCGCCCCTCCGACTGGGTGACGGGATGCTCGTCGAAGAAATTCTTCCAGGTATCGTTGCCGCCGTGTTCCATGCGCTGGGTCTCGGAGTTCTTGAAGGCGTCCATGGTGATGGAGCGCACAAAGGAGATGTGGACGCCTAGTCCGCGGTGCGTGCCGGCGCAGTTGAGACAGATGAAGGTACCGAATTTAGGGGATGCCTGTTCGATAAAAAGATCGATGTCCATTCGGTGTTAGAGAGGTATGTCTGCCCGGGGCGAGAGGAGAGTGGTCATTGGGGGCGTGCGTGGGAGATCCGCATGGGTCAGGTCAGGGGAAGACGAACCCATTGGGGAGAGGGGGCGCCGCAGTCGCAGCAGCGATCATTGCCGTTGGTTTTGGAGTATAGAAGGAGCTAGATAGATTGCCGTCCGGAAGAGTCAGTTCGGTCGGATGTTGAAGGTCGATGGGATGCGTCGAGCAGGACATACCTTGGCCTTCGTCTCCGGGTCGACTTCCCACATTTTCGACATGATGTCAGGGGGGGTAAGGAGCTTAGTCGACTGAGACTAAGCGAAAGGAGCGAAAGAAAGAAAAGAACACGGGAGCGAGAAGAAAGCTTAAAGAAAAAGCAAGCAAACCAAAAGGAGTGAATGGCAGAGACGAGACGATGAATCGGGGAAGTTGGTTGCGCAGGGAGAAAGGGGAGTTTGGAGGAAGTTCGGAGGCGCCGCCCCTCTCGCCGTCTTTGCCAGTTGCCACCCACGCGGATCGGCCTGGATTTCTGGAGTGTTCAGGACGGACTCTGGGGAACTATCAGATCTGAGCTGTCATGTACATGGCTTACCTCGCTGGAGAGATCTACGGAATACTGGATGGAACCTGGAAACGCAACACTACAAGGCCAGCCTTGCGGCTAATCATAAGCTAAATGATTGCTAAGATACAGTATAGCAGAAGAACAAGATTCGTTAGCAAGTCTCCGTCAAAACAACACATTACGGCGTTTTCCTTCTCTCCATGGCCTTCGACTGACTCCCTGGAGATCCGGAAGTTGAGATATAACCACCTCCATCCCCTCCATCCTCCTCTTCGTTTTCCTGTCTTCTCTCCCCCAAGTAGACCCCATATATGGGACTGGAACAATATCCACAGCTTTTCTCGTGTTTGCTTGGCCTCGCTTTTGTGTTTCAAGAAAATAAAAAACTGCAATTCGGACGACGTTTCACCATGAAGATTCGATCCCGTCCATAAAACGACGGTCATTTCCAACATCCACCTCACAAAATGATAACTGATCCCTACGAACTTAATCGAGAGAATACAGATCCTCGCTCAGGATAGAACGAAACTTGCCATTGATTTAGGCAGTAGCAGTCGCGGCCTCGGCGGCGGGAGCCGGAGCGGCGTTCTCCTGCGCAGGAGCAGCGGGAGCAGCGGCGGCGGGAGCAGCGGGCTCGGTCGCGGGAGCATCGGCGCTCTCCTCGGGCTTGTCGCCGGCGACGGCGTCGTCCTCCTTGCCGGGGCTGTCGATGGCGACCTTGACGGCGATCTCGCGTCCCTCAATCTCCTTTCCGTTCATCTCCTGGACGGCCTTCTCCTGGAGTTCCTCGGAGCCAAGGGTGACGAAACCGAAACCACGGCCCTTGCGGCGCTCGTTGCGGGCCTGGAGCTTCTTGATCATGAAGCGGGGGATAGGGCGCAGAGCGATCTTGGCGGAAACGGGCGAGTAGCTGGCGAAGATCTCCTTGAGCTAGAAGGGAGTTAGCACAACGTAAAGATACCCGGAAATAGATTGGTACTTACCTTGTCCTCGGTCAGGTCATAAGGAAGGTTGGCAACCATGACCTTGGTCTTGGAGGGGATACCATCCTCGGGAGGTCCACGCTGCTTCTGGGGACGGGGAGCGCGAGGCTTACCGGCCTGCTTGCCAGCCTCGGTGGTGGCAGCGGCGTCGTTCTGGTTGGTGACCTCGGTCAGAGGAGCGACCTGGCCGGGAACGTTGACGGGCTCGGCGGCCTGTTCGCCCTGAGACTAGGGTTGTGTTAGCTCAACACGGGTATATAGGCTCTGTCAGGCAAGAGGGAACTCACGGCACGACCTCCACGTCCGACGCGACCGCCACGAGCGCGACCGCGGCCACGGCCACGGGTACGACCGCCGGCTCTCTTGCGGCCCTCATTGCCGCTGGCACCCTCACCGCCACTGGCAGCACCGTCGGCCTTGGCCTCGGCAGGCTCGGGCTTGCGGGCCAGCTGGACGGAGACCTTACGGGCGAGGATCTCCTTTCCGGAAAGCTCCTCGATGGCGGCGGAAGCCTCGTGCGCGGTAGCAAGGTCCACGAAGGCGTAACCAACGGGGCGGTTGGTGCGAGGGTTCACGGGGATGGAGACGCTCTCACTGTTTGAGACGATCGATTAGCTGAGAAAGCGACACGATGGCAGAATCGCGGTCAAAGAAACAACACTCTGTAGCGACGGGGAGATAAAAAGCTTCTCATGATATCATGATCCACTCGTGATCAACCTCGCCGTGATAACGATCTCGCAAGTATTGCGAACTCGGTTGAGCGAGTGAACAAGCCGAAGCTACCAGAAACCTTGCCACTAGCAAGGGCGACAAGTTCCCGCCCACCAGGCGATCACAATAAACACAGGTCGAACGGGGAAAAATCATAACACTTACATCTTGTAGCTCTTGAAGAACTCCTTGAGCTCTCCCTCAGTGGTCGCATACGCGAGGTTTCCAATGTACAGCCGACGTCCTTCATCGGCACTGGCGGCCGCCGCGTCGGTGGACTGGGCGGGAGCGGCAGCAGGAGCAGTGCCGTTGGTGGTGGCCTCCGGGGCGGTGGCCACGGGGGCAGGAGCGGTGGCCTGGTTCTCGGCGGCGTTGTCGACGGCAGTAGACATGTTGATGGCTGAGGACACAAAGGGTCGATTGAGATTCAAAGTTGATTGAAGTGGGATTGAAGCAGGATGGACAATCGCAAGTAGCAGGGAACTTGGACCGAATGTGTGGTGTCAAGGGACTCAGGAGAGCTGAAAGGCTGCCTTGAAAGTTTCCTTGGTGAATGAAATAGGAAGGAAAAACTTGGGTGAGGGAGGAGAGGAAAAGGGTAGCTTCGTGCCCTAGATACAGAGGAAGGTTGACTTGGGGGGAAATCTAGTGTTTGATAGATGGAGATTTGCCTTGGGAGGAAGGATGAGGTCGACGGGGCAGAAAGGAGAAGGAGAGAAAAAGGGCAGGCAGCGAGGGCGGTGGCGCTAGTCCCGGCCGGGTAGCTGGGCAGCCTGGCAGCCTGAGAACGATGCCTGGACTGCGGTCAAGTCCAGGCAAGTCACGACGTGTACTTTCGGGCGGTCTGGCCTGGTCAGGCACTGACTGACATCACCTGCCGGTACTTTCCCTCTGTCGTCCCTCTGTCTACCTCCCTCTGCTGACTCTCTCTGTTGACTCTCTCTCCTCTCTCCTCACCATTCCCTTATTCTAACCTTACTTCCATCCTATCCATTATAATAAACACTACCCAATTCACTAGAAGGAATCCCTCCTTCCCTGAGTCGATCGAACCGCCGCTCCACTTGCCAACATCTTTCTGGTCAGGCCCGTCATAACCGTCTCCACGCCGGGCTCCCATCGCCGGCACTGAGTGGATAGTGATCCTTTGTCCGGCTCCATTGTTCCGGTGGACCGCACAAGAATCCGGAATTTGTGTGGACTGTCCCTTTGTTTCCCTTCTTTTGCAAATCTTTGGGCTTTACTCCTTCGGGCCTGGATTCACTCCTGCTTCCCTTTGCTTCGGTGTGTTTCGCTGTCGCAAGAGTTGGCTCTTTCTTATCCACCGCCATGAGTCATCGCATCGGGGCATGGAATCGTAGAGAAAATGGTTGGAAATCTCGCCAATTTTCTATCGCGAAACTGACGGTAAAAATGTGCGAACCCAATCGGTCGCAAAGAGACTGGATAAATATTCCTACTTTGTAGTGTCTGGCCTTAGCCCTCCCCCCATAACGTCACTTCATATGTACTGCAGATCCAAAGACGCAGGGCCAGACTAATTGGGAGACGCTATACCAATCCAGACTTCGGTATTGAGCGAGTCCACCGGCGCCAGTCAGAGGGCCAGCTAGACACCCACCTCTCCCACTACGGATTCCACTTGCGATAGCTTCTATCCATAGATGTATATCAATGACGTTATGCATCCAATTCAATGTTGTACACTTCCCAAGAGTTGCACGAAAAAAGCATGGTAGAGGTAACACAAGTCACCTTCTATATGACGCTGAGGGAAGCATGTCAAAGACGTAACCAAATTAGGAATGAGTAAACAGAAACATCCAACCAAAAACAAGAATCTAAATGCAAACAAATTATAGTACAGATCAATCATCCAAACACAAGGGTGGTATCAGAGAATAGAAAGTTCGTGGTCGGTCGTAAAGATAAGAAAGATTATAGGGTGAGGCGCTCAAGTGCCGTCGTACGGTTGAGGACGTGCCGATGCGGTGGACATTCGCGGCGGGTCTTCGCCAGTTTCCTCAGCAATCCGTTCCTCGGCCTTCTTTTTCTTCTTGTTGATTTTCTTCATTGCTTCGCTGGTCAGTTTCTCCCGGAACAATCGTTCCACGACGTCTCTCTTCCGCGATCTGCGATCTCCGATCATGATGAAGACACCACCGCTGATATTGCAGGTAATGGAGCAACAGAGGATGACGGTGGTTAGAGCGAAGGGCCGGACATGGTAATTGATACCCCACGTACAGGCGCCAAGAGCAATCTGGAGCAACGAATGGCAGTCCAGCAAGACAACGACGGTGATCAGGATGCGGAGAGGGAAGGCATGGTGGGTCAGCGTCTCGTGAGGCTTGTAGAATGTATGCGATCGGGACAGTTTGTTCTGATGGTGTATGAGTTTCTGCTGCTGGAGACGGTTTAGGACGGAGAATTCGTGCTCTTCGTCCTTAGGGGTGTCCCCAAACTCGACGTCGACATCCATCTCGCGTCGCGACGGGAGGTCGTTCTTGTCCTTGAGGTCGGGGAGGCGGCGCTTGCGGCGAATTTTCCAGGTCAGGAACGTGTAGTGCGCGATAAAGATCATGTGATATGTATCGATGGCCCGGAACGGGGCCAATCCATCTCCCATGATTGCGAACAGGGCCACAAGGACGTTGTCGATGACATTGATGATATAGAGCTGTCGTCCTCCAACATTGATCCAGCCTACATCGGTTAGAATCCAAGCGGTGAACGAAAGAAGACGGAGTCTTACCAATCAGGAAAAGAACCCAAGCAAGTCCAAAAAGCGTGATCAAAGTCGCATAGAGAGTGATGAGAAACCCGAGTGCTGTCCGCCAGGTGATTAGAAAGGCCTCTCGTACGGCATTGTGAGCACTCACGCTTAGACACGTATTTTCCGAATCCCTTCATCGAACGCTTGAACTTGGATCGTCGCGAATGCAGCATATGCCGTACGTGATCATTCAACTCCTCTATATCCCGTTCAGTCCACCCTTCGAGATTGCTGCCTTCGGGGAGCACGGCAAATCGAGTGTCTTGTTTCTCGAGCACGGCGGAGAGTCTGGTGAGCGGACGGTAGAGCGGCGGACGTTGCGGGTGATCCTTCTCATCGGTCGCATCTTCGCCTTCATCGGTGGTGGTGGTTTCCTCCTCTTCCGATGATTCTCTGGGAGGCGACAGAGTATAGGTTTGGTTGCGATTCAGCAAAGGGCCCAGGTTTGGCACGAAGAGCGAGTTCTGAACATTTGTAAGGGTTGACAGAGCAGATACTTGAGGATCTGGTAGAAGAGGTCCCAATCATTAGTATCACTTGCCAAGGCATGTTATATTGACAAGTACTCACCGATAACGTCCAACACATCGACGATGTGAGAGTGGTACACTGAATCATCCTCCGGGACGTCCGGTTGGGTTCCGTCCTCATTTACTCGGTTTCTAGAGAAGCGATTGAGAGCCGCTTCACTTGTCCATCGTAAAAGGTTACGGCTTCCCCTCCTTTGCATCGGAGTATTAGGAATTGCCTGGGGATCCTCCGGCGGCAGTGGCGGGTTCGAGACGGTGGCGCCGATAGGAGATTGATTCGATTCCTCTACCCGGGAAAGCACCTGGCCGCTCGGCGTGAATCTCGGAATGGCATTAGGACTTGGTGCCGTTGAATATCGCCCCCGATGGGGTTCGGAGCTGCTGCGACGGCGGTTTGCCTGCCATGTGTCGTCGACAGCCTGGGAAGCCGTGGGCGAGGCGAGATTCGAGCTGGAGGCATTCACGTTCGCAGGTCGATTATCATTTGTCCCCGTAGTATCGAAACCTCTCTGGGCTTGCGTGGGAACCTGGTCCAAGGTGTAGGACGGTAGGCGCGAGAGGCGGATAGTCGGGCGGCGGGTACGGGATGATAAGGCGCGCGGGCGGGTGGGCTGTGCTGACGTTTGTCTAGACGACGACGATGTTTGCTGGCCTTCAGGATCCTGAGGGCCTTCCACCGGCTCTATACGATCCATTGGGAATCGCCGAAGAAAGACAACAGCCCACTTCAGCCGGGGAAGGAATCCAGGAAAGCCAAGGAAGGAAGGAAGAGAAGCAAGACCAGAGAGGTGGGGAAAAGATAAGGGGAAAGGAGGAGGAGAGAAGGAAGAAACCAAAAATAGGAAAGAAACGAAACGACAGGGGAGAAAAAGCGACAGAGAGGAAAAGCCGCCATCGCCAGTGCATTCTGGGAGTGTTTGACTAAGCCCGGGGGGGTGCCGCCAACCTTGTTTTGCGGGCCAAAAACAGTCTGGATTTGCGTTGACGGAGGCCAAGAATTGATAAGCACCGCTTAGCGTGCGGAGTGTCGTCCCTCCATTGATCTGGATGAGGCCTGCAGGGTATAGACTATCCGGTAGGGGATGGGCTGGGTTTGCTCACCGGATGTTCTCAGTCCTCTCTATGCGGGTGCCTATTCCTATTGATTTCTATAATTGTTGTTCTTGTGGTGTCCAGAGCATGCGCGGCATTCTGGGTGCCTGAGGTGGCCAGCCACGTCCTTCAGGCAGAACTACTGCTTCGGGTATCGCTCAGGAGAGCCGATGGAGCCTCCAGCGTGCACGGTGGAGATGGATTGATCACTCACAGCAATGCCCGTACAATCGATCGTCCTTTGAAACCTGTTTCAAAGGACGATCGGTCCATCCGACATCCTGAAACCCTGCAGCTTGAAATCTCTACATCGTACTGCACATACTCCGTACTCTGTAGGTAGTACGGTGTACTCGGCCAGAAGTATATCTTTGAAGGTGGACTTCTTGTAGGTTCATATAGACAACCTGCAGTCCTTTGCGCAAGGGAAGAAGACAATCTTGCATCATTGCAATTAAAACTCTAGAGCATTTGGGTGAATAGCTAGCTATATCGTTAGTATTGCAATGAACAGGTCTGTCTGTTCAACTTGGGCTTCAAGGGTAGAATAACCCTAACTACTGCGTAGTACGCGGAGCAAATACGTCTATTCTCTTCCCTTTCGTCTGATGACCCAGTATCCTCTTTTACAGGCGCCTCCATAATATATCTTTAGTGTAGATAAGAATTGACATATTTTTCTTTGTATCCCTACATTCACACCCGCGAGGAATTGGGCTTCATTGTCCTTTTTATGCTCACGAGCAAATGCCTAAAAAGCTACCAGGAATATCCTGCATCTTTCGTTAATATTGTCTGTTTAGAAAACGGACACCTGAATGAACAAGTATGTACTCCGTACATACAAACATCAGTTAAGTGGACGTTTGAATACGCCGCCCCACGTGGCACTCTGCTATCGCCATTTCAGGTGTGCATTCCTAGGCACCTTTCATCATCTACATATTACACCATTCTCCTATGGTTTATTAGATCAACAAATAGCCAGAATGTTTTGCTGTATCTTATTCTCTCGCCCTGAGCGCCGGGCCAGACAGGTCAAGCGCAAGAAGAAGTCCACAAGGTCTCGCGCGACTCCAAACAGCTCCGTCGGAAATGGTGCTCTAGAGAGACATGAGCAACGCCCGGCTACTCAGGCCAGTCTGCCGCACAACACTCGCAACGGTCGATCATCTGGTAGAAACCCTTGTGGTCATGTTTATGTTGTCAGAGGGCAAATCTTTGAGAGGCCTGTCTCAGTATTCATACTACAGCGAGGAGTGCGGCTAGTACCGATGAAGAGTGTTAGGGTAATTAAGAAGACTGAAGAGAATTATGTCGTTTTCGCTGCTCCTCCAACCCTGTCAGGCGCGAGTCGCGCGCCATAATTCATAAAACGATCGCAAGGATGATCTACATAGTTGTTATATTATTGCTTTCGAGCTCTTTGCGCAGCTTCACCGCATCAACCACAAGGAGTGGCAGCAATTTATCATCACCCCCAAGTTGTTTTTCAAAGTCCCCGACTCACCTAGCGAATTTCGACACTCTCAGCTTGCATGTACAATCTCCTTTACTCAGAGCCAGTTGACTCATATGTCTTTTCATATTCACCATGCACCTGCGCTGCTCAATTCCGCCTATATGTTCCTCTCGAATGCCAAAGTGTACCCATTCCGCCCGAACGATCCCGGAGAAATAGTTTCAGGAAAGCGCATAGGATCCTGGAGGGCAGATATTATTGCTGAATGTTTGTTGTCCTTGGCGGTTTTGACTTGTAATCATTCCCCGGAACGAATGATTTGCATTTGTTTCCGTTGTTGTTCACGCAGTTGGCGTTGTTCAAAATCGAGTTTCGCTTCATGAGTATCTGTAGCGATGGAGGATATGAAAAGACTTGATAAATCTGAATCTCTAATTAGCAAGCTAGTGCTAGACAGTGACAAAAACATTGAGAAGACCTGGGGGCCTTACCCATAAAGCGAAGAGTTGGAACCGTCCATGACGGCAGCCAAGCATGGGACTCTTCCTCTTAATCAGATGTTTGGCAGATGGCCTGTTGTAATTTCCAACGTTCAATCTTCATCAATTGACCATAATCCAAGGTCCCTGATTTATCCTCGACCCACTCAGCAGGATCAGCTCATTGCTGCATAATCCTTGGCCGCCCCTTGACGATGTGTTGCCGAGAAAGCGTGATAGGTGGAAAAAGCAGCACTAGAGCCCTCTAGCTGCATCTACACCTCCTCCTGCTGAATGAACTCACACCCCTCTCAATTTATCTTCGCATTTAGCCGTACTATTATCTGCCTTCCACCAAATACCCGGGGGATTTAGGCTCGATCGCACACCTTTCAACAGCTAATATCATTTGCCCCCGTGAAGATGCTCTAGCTTCATCTAGCACGCTGACGATGGCTCCATTCCTCAACCTCATAGTCCATTCACCGCTATGCCCGCTTTTCAAACCCATCTATTTGACCCTGGCTCATTTCCGAAGTTATTCCACGATCATGTAAACCGGCCTTGGCTGACATGCTTATGCGGTGTTGCTGGAGACGGATTTCGCGGGTCCAAAAGAGATCGTGCTTTTGTTTTGCCCTCAGATGACCCTAACCATGTGCCTAGACAAATTGTTTCGCTCTGCGCAATTTAGGAATAAAACCGGCGGGCATTCCGCTGCTTCTCCTCTTTTTTGTTCCCTCTTCCTTTTCTTTTTTTGTGTTCTCCATGGCTAGCTAGCTAGACATCCGACTGTCGTTTACTAGGTTGAACTGAAAAGACGGTTCTTTTGATCGTGCATTGGCAATATGGTTGCCGGTCTCTTTTCGAAGGGATTGTTGCTTCTGGGTCTCTGCGCGGGCCTGGGAGCTACTAAGGATGATTCGAAGCCACTGTACAAGGACCCCAATGCAGCGGTGGATGATCGGGTGGACGACCTATTGAGCCGGATGACCATTGCGGACAAGAAGGCCCAGTTAATTCAGGGTACGATCATACAATTCTATCTCGATCATCCCTTGTTTGGTTCGCAGTCTGCTTACAATTTTCGCAGGCGACATCACCAATTGGATGAGCGACACGACCGGGGATTTCAATTACACCGGCCTGGTGGAGAATATGAAATGGAAGGCCGGAATGTTCTACGGTATGGGATTTTGGTGCTTGTATGAGGAATTTATGTTGATATTGACCGTTTGCAGTTGGATATCCCGTTCCTTGGGACTGGATCGCGACCAATGTCAAGAGGGCTCAGGATTACCTGGTTAAGAACACGACTCTTGGTATTCCGGCGCTTGTTCAGACGGAAGGTGCGTATATTTCCATTCGCCCTTGGCTTTTGAGCATGTGCTGACTGCGCTGTTGAATAGCGATCCACGGTTTCTTGATTGGCAATGCGACGATCTACAACTCGCCTATTGCATACGGGTGCTCCTTCAATAGAGATGTATGCGGCAGATCCTCGAGTTGCGACATAAGGAGCTAATATTTGCAACAGTTGATTCATAAGATGGGCAAGTTTATCAGTCAAGAGGCTCTTGCTCTTGGCGCGAACCAGCTCATGGCGCCGGTGGTTGATCTTGCGCGTGAGCTGCGCTTTGGACGAGTAAGTAACTGATATCCGTCGTGTCGAACAAGGCTAACTGAACAAATGATGTAGGTCGAAGAGACATTCTCCGAAGACCCCTTCCTTGCGGGAGAAATCGGCTACTCCTACGTGAAGGGAATCCAGAGCCTGAACGTCTCCGCCATGGTCAAGCATTTTGCCGGATTCAGTCAGCCAGAGCAGGGACTCAATACTGCGCCAGTGCACGGCGGCGAGAGATACCTGCGCACGACGTATGCTACCTCATTTGGACTGAAACTTGTGAGGAAAAATGCTGACATTGACCAGCTGGCTGCCGCCGTTCAAGAGAGCCATCATCGATGCCGGTGCTTGGAGTATCATGAGCGCATACCACTCGTGAGTCCACTTTCTGAAGCTCACTTGACCCTTTTAATAACCTGAATATGTCTCCAGATACGACGGCATCCCCGCAATCGCCGACTATCACACCCTGACTGAGATCCTGCGTGAGGAATGGGGCTACGAATACTTCGTCATCAGCGATGCAGGCGCTACTGACAGAGTCTGCAATGCTTTCCACCTTTGCGAGAGCAGCCCTATCGACATGAATGCCGTCACCCTTCAGGTCCTCCCTGCTGGTAACGACGTCGAGATGGGCGGAGGTTCCTTGTATGCTCGCCCTATCCCTGATACCTAATTTCCCTTGAATTTCCATACTAACGCATGGCCTGATCAGCAACTTCCAAAAGATCCCCCAACTCGTTGAATCCGGGAAACTCGACATCGAGACCGTCGACACGGCAGTAAAGCGCGTGCTCAAGACGAAGTTCGAGATGGGCCTCTTCGAGAACCCCTACCGCGCCGCTCCCCAGTCCCAATGGAAGAAGCTTATCCACAGCAAAGAGGCGGTGGATCTGGCGCGCGAAATCGACAGGGAGTCGATTGTTCTGCTCGAGAACCACGATAATGTCCTGCCGTTGAAGAAGGGAGGCGATATTGCAGTCATTGGACCGATGGCTCATGGATTTATGAACGTATGTTATCTCTCCTCTCCCC